ACTGTGCCACCAGCTCATGATCCATCATCTAAACCAGGCAATATGGCTTATCCTTGGACACAATTATACAACCCAAACGTGCCTGCACAGTGGGACTACATAGAACCTAAACAAAAGCAATAATAAGGAAGTCATTTGGAGAATTCTTATTATTGGCACTATAGTATTTGGACAGCTATGTGATTGTGTGTACACCGGTCAAAGATTACTCTTGTCTATCTTTCAGTATAACTATGCACATTTTAAGATGCTATATTTTTCATTCATTTTGCGGGCTACAAGATCAAAATCACAATGAGCACCACGTCTTGTATGCCAACCTTCAATATCGAGCTATAAAAAGTCTCTAAAGGTGAGTTTTACATTGGATTTACAACCTCCATCTCTTTAGAATAAACATTGACGCGCATGAGCAGTAAATCTCAAATCACAAAAGAGATTAGAGATAACACTGGCCGCACAGGTGTTGAGGTGTCACATGTAAATAGTCAACATGTGCTGTCATTTAGTAAACACTGACATGCACAACAGGCAGCCAGGAAGACATCTGAGAGACTGCATGGATGCTGGCAGGGACAATGGAAACATAGGAAAACCACATCAAAACAACAGCAGGACACCGCCGCGGTCATGGACATCACCTGCTAACATTTACCTTTTAGTGCGTCGAAACATGTTGTTAGCAGCGGTGGCAGTGTTGGCAGATTACACACAGACACACACTGTAACAGGCAGTCAAGAGGCAGTGGTTATGCTCCGTGCCGGCATCTCTCAACCTCCGTGGCCGGTTAAACAAGCACACACACGCGCACAGTCCATCCACAGAGCAGATGAGATTCGACGGTCAGCAAAATGTGTAAATGTCAGCAGCCGTGTCAGAGAAAAGCAGAGAGAGAGAGAGGACGGAAAAGGCTCGTCTGTGAAAGAGAGGATTGTGAGGCTGATCTCAAGGGTAACGTGCCAAGCCGAGAGGTGGGGACCCAAAGGGAGGGGGTGAAGAGGGTGAGCAGGGCAGGACGAAAGGAGGAAATAAATGAGGGAAAGTGGCAGCAGAGGATCCGGTGGAGTGTGCACAACATAGAGTCAGTGGCAGCAGGCGTAATCACTGAACTGTCTTATAATGTCTATAATAAGCACAGTGCATTGTAATGAGAGTGTAGATAATAAGATGCTATCAAAGAGAATGGCATCGGTGTCAGTGGTTCAAATGGCTACTTTGAATAATGGTTCAGTGAACACATATTCATAATTGTGCTAAAGATGTCGATGTGCTGGTGTGATAAAGGCATGAAGTAATACATTATTTCCAAATGTCCACTGTGGCTAGTAACAAACCTGTTTAACCTGTTTTTTCATAATAAACAGAAAAAGGTCTTAAAACTAAAATGTTCCGAACAAACTAGACCACAACATGCTGTTTTGTTGCGTGGTTATTAGAAAAGATGTTATGTTTTACTTGAAAGTCACCTTCAACAACAAATGAAACATATGAATAAAATGAAAATACAAAAAAAATTCTATTCTATGGTTAATGTTTCATACTGGTCATAAAATAAAAATACACTTAAGCCCAAATAAGATGAATCTTTTATTTGCGCGACCCACTTTTAGGATCTTAGCATTTACTTTTCTTCTTGAGGTTGAGGCTGACTGGTTTAACTATTTAAAATGACAGTATAGAGCCTCGTCTTCTGTATGCAATATGCAACTCCCATAATAATAAAAATCCTATGTGTCCAACACATGACACAAGCTACTTGAGGCTTCATAAAACAAGACAATATGTGTGTGTGCGAGTGCGTGTGTGTGTGTGTGTGTGTGTGTGTGTGTGTGTGTGTGTGTGTGTGTGTGTGTCCTCTGTTCACTTTGAAACAAATGCACCAAATGTTAAAGCTGACATGGGGTGACAGTTGGACAGTGCTGCTGAGGGGAGGGATTCAATAATGGATAGTCTCTCTAATGTGGACGTCTGGGGAGGATAAAATATACATGGGACAGAAGAGCAGTGGGGGGTGGGTGATGATGTCACCACATGGAGTCAGAGGAACTGTGATATCATGTGAGATTTGGTGAGATTGTAATCTGAGAGAATTTCATTCTAAAATGAATTAATATAAATACAAATAAATACACTCAATAGTCCATTATAGAAGTGTATGCTGCACTTGTGGATAGCAAAACCTATCAATGTGATGCTAATTAGGACTACACAATATTGGAAATAAGTATATATAAAAATACTTAATAATAATGGAACTACTGTGTAACACTGTGATGAGCAAATATTCTTGTCTTGGCCATTGTAAATGTGAGTGTCAAACAATAACAATATGAACTATTTAAATGCATAAATATAACTGTAAATTATTGTTTAAAGTTGAAAACATATTCTTCCCTATTTCCATTCTAAATCAGCTAAATTCCTATTGTAAAACACTCAGTCTAATATGGAGATTTCTTTATGGCCACCCTACAGTTTACCCTGGTAAACAACACACCTCCAGACAATGAGGACAGAAGTCTGGTCTGACACCTCAGAACATCATAAAGAAATACATTTTACCAAATAAAAAAAAATATTATTTGAATTATTATTATATTATATGTTTATTATTATAAATAGAATGTGAATAAACTGATAATTAAGGGGCACTGCTCATCAAAATGTAGTTTACTTCTAAAGAGGTCCCGGGCTTGTGTGTCAGTGACACCAGGCTGAAACATCTGCCACCCAGACACAGAGGTCAAAAGTGACTCTCAAATGACAGCAGAAAGTAGGACCACATATGTACAGTTTTACTCTCCAAAGGAGTAATGTGACCTACATTGAGATCATAAACCTACTGTGCATAATGTAATTTAGAAGATTAACTTCTGGATAAAACTGATCCTAAATGCTATTTAGGAAATCTGTTGAGGACACAAAACAAATTCAAAAGGGCACCTTGACTAAGTATGATGTAAAGATGATACAATCATCAACCAAACATATTGCAAGAGATAAAGAACTTAAAAGAAGATCGATGGTTTCAGCACCATGGACAGTGCTCACACCAAAACTACTTGCCTCAGTGGTTGGATATATTATGACAGTATTACTAACACATATTTGTCAACGCAAAGAGGAAGATCTCTGACTGGCACTGGAAACAGGTCTCCTAATTAGGTTTTCTAAATATAAGTCATCTCTGTGGAGCAGCCAACGCTGTGTCTTTTTCAAGTCTCACAATGTACCTGGCACACATTTTGACAACATTAAAAAGCTATAAAAACCTGGCTGTTGTTCTTAGCTTTTCAAAAACATTAAGAACAAACTATTGTTTTAAGAATATTTAGTGATGTAAAGTTTGGTGCTCATGTGAAAGGCAGTCTGTGACTCTATCGAGAGAGCACAAGTGTAAGACATTTTGTTAAATTCAGTACGAGGCATGCTCGAAGCCGTTTGTCGCTCTCAGCCACCCTGGACAAAAAGGTCACAGTGAGCCACTTTTGCAGCTGAACTTCCATTGCACAGCTCAGTGGTGCAACAGATTGTGCTCAGAAGGGGACTATTTACAGGAATGGGCTCCCACAAGCCTTAAAGATTCAGAAAGCTTTCAAATGAGACCACATTGAAAATTCCATCTAAATATAGAAAAACTGTGTTCAAGCTGGTGTGCAGTTTTATAGTTTGTAAAGTAGGGTTGTGTACAAGATCCTCAAAGGCATTGGTTCTCAAACTTTTCACTTTTCACAATAATAATAATACTGTCAACATTTGCAAAATTCACTGTATTGTTGAATATTAGTTAAACTCACTTAAATTATTGTATTATGCATCAAACATAATAATTTTGTTCCTGCGATATACAGTGTAATCCAGCATCTTGTATATTATTAAAACTATATATATATATATATATGTATATATATATATATATATATATATATTATATATTATATATATATATATATATATATAAATATATATATATATATATATATATATATATTTATATATATATATATATATATATATATATATATACACTCATTAGGTCACTCACATACACTCCTGCTCACAAATGGGACACTAAAGCTACCGTGACATCTTGTGAGAGCTGATTTTCTATTAGTTTCTGTTAGTTTTTGTGATGAGTTTAAAATTGGTTAAACCCTCTTAACAAAACGCTTGTCTTCCACTTTATCAGGTAGACCTTGAAATCACATCACGCCCCCCAGCTAAATGTTTCTTTAGTTCCCTCAAGGTAGCATGAAAATCATTATCAGACTCTATATCCAAATTAACTGGTAATATACCTCACCAGATTTGTTAAAACATTTTCATTTTTGTCAGAATAATGAATAACAATTGTTATCTAAATCTGCCAATTTTATTTTCCCGACAAATAACCATTTAATAATGATAATAATAATGCATTGGTTTTATAAAGCGCTTTTCTGGACACTCAAAGACACTTCACATGTCATTATTCTTTCACTCAATACACAGTATTGATAAACTACTACAGTGGGGCAGCTGCGGCTGTGCCACCTGGTGTTCCCAGAGGTCTCCCATCACAGTACTAACCAGCCTTGCCCTGCACAGCTTCAGATATCTGACAGGATCATGCAAGTATGGCATTTTCTCAAAGCACTGAACATTTGTTAATCTGTTTGTCTTGATGGAACAATGACTGTTCTATTTGTTGTATCGTTTGATTCTAATTGAATGATTTCCTAATCTGGTGTTGGCAAATCAACAATTCTGTGACGCCCTTCTGCTGTTGTGATTATGGGTGCTACAATAATATGTTGATTTGATTTGACTATTGCGTGAGTCACCTTTTCTGCCACCTAAAGAAGTCCACCCAACAACAACAAAAACAACAACACATTAATAGTTTCTTCTCTTCTGTGAATATTGACAGTTCCTTTCTTGTTCTAATCACTACAATTAAGATGCAACTATTTAAAACACAAAACATCTACAGCTTTAACACTATTCAGTAAAAACTCACCTGCTACTTTTGCGAGGCAGAGGAAGATCCTTCTGTGGAGAGAGGAAAAAGAAATTTGACATCACATATTTATAAATGACTGATTCACCCACTCGCATATCATACATGTTTTTGAGTTGTAAGCAGCCCAAGCGAATAGTCTTGCCCTCAGACAGACATTTCTGCAGTGCTTTTATGGAAGAGAAAACGGAAGGCCATCTGGCACTGCAATGGAGCCAACGTCAATTCAAAATTAGTTGCTGGTGTATTTATGGCATTACAGGACAGTGATGTGATTAGGATCCACTGGGATGGATCCTTTCTAGTGCTTGTTGCCCATCCTGCCCTGATCTGATTCTATTTAACACAAGACTATGGCGAGATCAAGTTTCTGTCCGTTTCTCTTGTGGCTCTGTGCTGAGCAGTTTATCCAGACATTCACATATCTGCTTTGGAGATTTAATCTTTTCACAGATAAAGAGAAAACAGAATACATCTAAAAAACGATTTTTACTAAAAATTTTCATGAATTACACATTCATGGTTTGATTCATTAACTTCAAAGGCCGTCCATCAACAGTCTATGTGCTGAACAGGAGTGAAATGCAACTTGAGATGTTCTGAATTCAAAGAAAAGGACGTTTTGGTCCTTTACAGCCAATAACGGCTCTGTAAAAATTTATATATTTTGACATAATATCATGAAAAATAACCTGGGGCAACAGCGCAGCAAGACGTTAAAACATGCACTTAATATAAAGCTAAGGGGAGCCAGCATGGCTCCGGAGACCCCACTGGGAATCACAAACGCACCACACAATAATAAATATAATATAATTAACACCAGAGTGGATTTTACTGTAACCCTAAAATTAAATTCATCTGATTAGTGAAGCTCAAACATTTGTGTCCTTTAAATATGAAAACGTCTTCATTTAGACTCAATAATTAGTGATATTTAAAAATATCTTAAATAATCAGTAAGTAATATGATTAAAAAATATTACTAAAATGTTGTCCATAGTCCATTTATTTTGACTTAACAATCCGGAGCAGCAAAACATATACTAAAAACCCATAGAGCAAACGCAATAAATTATGAAATGGTGATATCATCAAACTAGTAGATAGTCACGTGAATGAGATCACAATTAGATTTTTATCACCACATCTCACAGCCCTGGACAGTCTAATCATTAAATCTTCTCTAGTTCACTGGTCACTCAATGAAGCTAAGACTGTAAAACTGTCTGCCTTTTGTCATTAATTAATCGATTGATGGTGTCTTCATCAACCAACATTTTAATTAGTTGATTCATTTAAATATATATATTAGGATCTCAGAAGGCATGGAGCCAATTTACTGAGGATGTTTGGTTTTACTTTGACATTCAAGCCAGGTCAAAACTACAATTCAGTTTCATTAATATTTTTTGTTACTAGCTTAATATTTGTATAGGGCTTCCACTTGGTCGGCTAATTGATCATAAGGATACACCTTTAATCAACTATGGCCCTTAAGTTTGGAGCAATGGTTTTAACACAAACATGAACATTTGAATGTGTCTGAAACTTGGTTCGTGTGGACGTATGTCTGACTGGGAATGACATCACTCATTACAGGAGGGAGCATTTTCTGGGTCACTGAATGAGTCCACGATCAAGAGGAAGTGCTACAGGGTGACTCAGACAGTGGGAGTCGTCTGAGGATGTGTGCGCATATGTGTGAGCATGTGTGTGTGTGCGTGTGTGTACGTGCGCATGTGTGTGTGATGGGGTAGATAATGGATCAAACCCCAACACCTGCTGCCCTTCACTGTCCAAATGCAGCCACTGTGCGTGTTGTTGCCATGAAACTAACACTTGTGCAATAGTGAGTGACCATGACAACCAATGCACCATTTTCACTCAACTTTTTTATTTTGAATTTGATCTTGAGCTCTCACATCTGTTCAGAGTGTTTGTCAGTCTCTGCGCTGGTTCACAGGCCTGGTCGTCATTGTAAAAGAGAATGTGTTTTCAATCGACGCACCTGGTTCAAAAATTTAGAAAAATGCTAAATATGGCATTTCAATACATAACTAAAATAATAAGGCAATCGTGCTGTTGACTGCAGATTGCATCAACTAGAAAGTCTGTCTCTAAAAGATATAACTTTTGAATCTTGTTTTGATATTGACGTCCATGCACACTGGGTATTCCAGTATGGCACTAAACTGCAAATGGCAAATAAACTGAAGATTTTGAATCTTACAAATTCCATTGTAACTTTCTATGAAGTGAGATTAGGGTAGTCTAAAAATGCCCCGGGAGAAAACGTTGTGACCAATAATAAAGATAATGATATTATGCTTCTGTTGTGGGCAGAGATGCAAAAAGGATTGGAAATGTCAGCTCTGCAGCAACAGCTGAACACACTTTGTATGATTTTGGACAAATACCTAATTACAGTTGTGATTTTAGTTACAAATTGTGGTTTGGTTGCAAATGGAGATTCATATTTTGATAAAATGATAAAAAACAAAATCCTATACATTTCAGAACAAGTAAGACATCTAAAAATGATTCATTATTTTCCTCATGGATACATTTTGGATTAAATTAGTTTAAGTTTAAAAAGAGGCTTTTACTCTAGCTACTATAATATGAGATTTGTCTATAAAAAGATGTGTTGTTGTTTGCAAAAGACTTGAAAAAAATTTGGGACTCATGAAATTCCTCACAATTCCCAACTAGTAAAAAGCCTTGACAGTTGATTCATTTAGACCTGTACAAGAATCAAGTCAATGTCTGAACTGACAAAGTCATTTCCACTTTTAACAGGACAGATTTTGGTTTGTGCTCATACAGGATGAACACCACGCAGTGCAGTGGTGGTAAGTAAGTAAGTAAGTAAGTAAGTAAGCTTTATTTATATACTGCCTTTCACAGACCAGAGTCACAAAGCGGTTTACAATTGTTATTTTTTGGGCATTTGTCTCTCACTCCACACAGAGATGGGAGCGGGGTCGCCGAACAGGAGGCGCATGCCAGAACGATTGTGCATATTTTTAGTGGTAGGGGAAACCGGAGTACCCGGAGGAAACCTACGCAGAGACTGTAGAAGAACCGCCACCTCTGAGGTAGTAGTAGTAATTATGTATTTAACACTTATATATTTTATACAAAATGATCACAGCACAAGCAGAACCAATGGTTCAATTGGAAAAATCATGCTACAGGAAAGTGTGCACTTTCCTGTGTATACTGAGTAAGTGTGTACTCTAGTCTAATCATATGCTGATCAACAAGGCTAAACTTTTGGCACGTCTTGTAGCCTGTCTTGTAGACAAATAATTAGCATGCTAAATAAGTTTTAGGTTTATTGACCATTGTGCAAGAAAAAAATATTCTGGCATTCATTATTGGATTTGTGGCATGAAAGAGTTTTAATATTATAATTTTCTGTCATATTTTTTAAATAACTATATTAATTTGAATATATGTAATCAGAACAGGTTCCGAAAAATTGTCTTAACAATAAAATCCATGCATTAGATCAGTAAGTGGAAACCAGATCATCCGTCATCTGTGAAGAGTTGTAACTTGACCTCTGTCCAGTGGAAGTACCCTGCCCATAAGGGGATCCCAGTGCTGTAATAGGCTCTTTAAGGAGTCTACAGTGTCACGTGTCTCCCACAGTCTCTGCCATAGTCTCTGCTCGCCTCCCTCCCCTTCCTCTGGCCCATCTTACCCTGTCCTGAGCCCTGCTGCTGCTGCTGGCCGCTTGTCTTCCCTGAGGGCACACCATTAGTTCTGCTAATGGGCCAACAACTGCACCTCAGCGTTTAGCCTTTCTCTGTTTGAGATATGAATATCGACCACTTTGTCAATGGAGACACCGACAGGACCGGAGCTGGGATGAATCAGATATGCACTTATACACACTACATTATTATTACACTTCTATAGAGTTTAGTCTGGTGATGCTCGTTGAAAAAAGACTCTTTGTGACTCCAGTGGATAGTGCACAGAGTCCATTTGTGTGTGTGTGTGGACAGAAATCATGCATATACCTCTCTTTATAATATTTATGATAAACGGGAAGACCATTTGCATCTTAAGATAGAATACTGTATTATTTGAGCTATTTTCAGCGATGTCCATCTATCCAAACAGCAGTTTTTCTGAATGGAAACCTGCTGACAACAAGGCTGTGTGCACCAGTCACCTAACACAAAAACATTACATCACTGCTTGGAAAATTACACTCTACTCTAGCTGCCACAAAGAGGCATGGAGCCTCTGAGAAGCTAATATGGAAAATAAATTGGAGGTGTCTTTGATCAAAATATGACATAGTCTCTATTGAGAAGAGACTTATCTCATCATCTTTAATTTTGCACACGCTTTAATCCGTGAGGTCTTAACAAAAGCAGCCGGGGACTGAGAAGTGGAGGTCTGTCATGTTTGTATTAATACCACCAGTCGACAGCCTTTGTGCGATCTTCCAGCTGTGTCTGTACTGTGTTTATAAATGATAAGCCATCCTCTGCAGTAGCTCAGCGAGCAATGTGCGGCTGAGTACATGTACAGTACATTTGTTCACTGAGAAGCAGAGGAGAAGTGGCAGATAATGGAAGTGAAGCTGTGGCTTCCACAACTACACTTGATTCATCAGGCACCCCACCACAAAGCCTGGATGGAAGCTTTTACCAGGCTTGTTGTGTCATTGAGGCTTTAGTACATGTTCAAATTTCATACAATTATAATAACACGCAGACACACCAACCGGACTGTGACTGCCTCAAGAGAGGCAACAGCAGTTGAAAGAGTGGTATTGATATCATATTGATACATATGTGTATGAGTACATGCCCTTTTGACTTATTTTAGGATGTAGTTCAATTCAATCAGCTGTAACAGTGAACATTTCATTTACTATTTTTCACAAATAAAAGGCACAACACAACTGCAGAAAGTTCACTGGGTTCATATCAAAGCATTAGGTTTTTGACATGATCCCATACTCAACAGGCAGATTTACCCTACAAATACATGTTAGTCTTTAGTAGATAAGTCCACTTAAACCGTTTCAAATAGCCTATGAAGAAGCAGTGATAAATTATTCATTTAATCCAAATCCGTGTTTATTTCATGTTTACATGCTCACTCCTCGGATGATCTCAGCCTTGACAGTTCTCACCTGCATCCTTCGTCTTCGGATGATCCCAGAGTCATCCATGCTGGGGGTCTGCTCTCGCACCTGCGGACGTGTCCTCAACAGCGGTGGGCACCACGGCGTCCCGGGCTCTTCATACCCTCAAACCCGCTCTGCTGCTAAACCCCGCGATGCCACAGCGCCATAAGGGAAAGTCACTGGTGAATCTGCACCGAACACGGATGAAGGCGGGAAAGGTACTTCAGCGAGTATCACACGTGCGTTTGACCTGGACGGACATCCCATACTGACCACAGAAACTGCAGTAGTACTACAATAATACAGCCATGCAGTACTACGAACCTACTACAGCGAGCAGCATCCGTGTGAGACGTCGGACCAGCGCGCCCCAACACATATCACACCAGAAAAGGTAACGCAGACGGTCCAGTGAAGCAGAGATTACAAATTACGCACATTTGCTAACACGTCCTGTCCATTCACATCACACCATTGATCCCCGAGCTCACCTCACACGGCTACTATCATGTAAAACAGATAAAACAGGTACCACTAGAAGTACTAATAGAAATGTATCTGTATGCTATCCAGACTGGCACGCGGAAAAGCAGGTGAAAAAGACGCCGTACGTGGAGTCGACACACCGTCCAATGTCCAGGAGCGATGTCTTTCAGCGGTGGTCTGCTCTTGTTCTTTGCTGCTGTGTTCTCTCTAAAGTGATCTGCGGTTGGTTGTTACCACTGGACAGAATCCTCACCATCTCCATCTCCTACCACCCACTTCCTCTGTAGTACCGAATGACGTTTAACCCCTGCGTGACCACAGTGCTGCTGATGATGATGATGCTGAGAAGACTGGTCCAAAGGCTGAGAGCCATATATATTTTGCCAAGACATATTTTTACACATCCAAAAAGATACACATCCTAGTATTTCGTCTCTTGTTGTCATATGATTCCATCCACATGGCATTCCACTGCTTTATATACCTGATCAAGACCAAACAATACGATCTATTCTGCTGGAGACAACAACAACAACAACAAAATAGCTGAAGTCTGAAGTTCAATTCAGGTAACCCTAATTTACAACAGCAGTGGTCTTAGAGGACTTTACAAAATTGTCAAATGGCCAACAAAAGATTAGATAGACAATTAGAACACAGGAAATGCAATACTAAGAAAGAACTCAAAGAAGCAATGTCCATAGATACTGTATTGTCCAAACATACAATTCCTGGATCATCACTGTCATTGGACCCCTCCCACAATGTATTTTTTTTTTAACTTTTTGATCACATATAACCTTATTAGACCAACAGTGGATCTATATTTTCAGATGGGAAAATGTGTCAGCGGCGCGCTATTGTTAAATAATATTCAAATTATAATTGGTTTTATATAAGTTTACTTATACAATTGCACGTATACACTGCATAACAGACGGGCCTTTAGTGAAAATATTATTCATCATTTGTGTGTTCATTCATTATTTATTTTTAACACATGCTTTTCTTGAAAGGTTTTTTTGTTGAAAGTTATTTGGTTCCTCTATACCAGACAATTGTTAGATGTTAGTTACATTATCTGAACTCAAATTTAGTTAATTGTAAACCCTAAAATGAAAGATATCCAACGATTGTGAGTAAATTCTGTTAAATAGATAAATACGAAACTCGAAGGAGTCCGTAGATTTAAACACGGCCCTTTCACTGAGCAGTGAGTGTGTCTGACCAAACCCTTGTACATTTGTGCCAGTGCTGCTTGACTTATTAATATTGAATAATTGATGAAGGCATAAATTTTACATCTTTTTGTTCATTAGGTGCAGGCAGATACAGCAGTCTGAGTGCACGGACCCCCCAGACGCACTGTTTTATGCAGATTTAAGCTTGTTTTTAGTAAGTAAGTGTTTTTGTTGTGGCCCGAAGGAGCTAACATAGGCCATCTTTCTTCCTTTGGCAGGTAAAGTCGGAGATGCAGTGTGTGCCTGGTCATTTCCTGTTCAGGGCTGCGTCTCTAGAGTCTGCTCACATCTCTTCACAGACGCTGAGTGCCCTTCTGCAGCGGGTTTGTTGGAGGTAAAAAGCTTAGGAGTGGAGGCATAAAAAGAATTTCAGCACATGCTCTAAATTCATAACATAGGATTTGGGTGCGCTGTGGTTTCAGACTGTTACAATGTATTAAAAGCAACAGCTCACCTAGCTTATTCATAATCCGTGACAGTTTATACTAAATGGAAGGGTCTTATGATTACAATAACTTTTTTTTTTTTGGCTTTTCAAGGCCAAAAACATTCTGATTCAAAGCGGTATCGCAAGTTTACTCATTTTATATGGAAAGAAATACCCAGAATGGAGTGTGATTAAAGCTGGGGTAAATAACTTTAAAACCACAAAACCTTGAAATTCATCCAACTATACTTATACTACTCTAAACAGTTTGGTCCTCTTGGTCTCTCTTCATATCAACTTTTTCAGGCGTACACGAGTAGATAATAAGATAAAGATAGCTTATTGTAGTCTGAGTTGACCACTTTTTTACATTGTTGGTTTGGACAAAAACGTATTATTTTTTCAACCAAAAAAGGTTTCGTACCCCAGCTTCAAGAAACATGGCTAAAGTATCAATGGAAGCAGGCCTTCACATTTTCTTTAATGAACATTTTCTTTGTTTAGTAGTGTCATGGTAAAAGACTGATTCTTTTGTCTGAGTTGGACAGTAGCGTCTAACGTAGGAGAAGTTCATTGATCCGTCAGCAATGCAACCCTTCGAAATGGCAGTTGTCCTGTCCTTATCGTCAAGTCCGGTGGTTGGCGGGCTTCATGCGCTCATGTTACTCCATCTGCGTCCAATTAGTTTTGATCAAGTTAGCTCAGTCCCTCTGCCATATATTGTCCTGTAGGCTTTGTGTGCCTCCCATACAAGATAAGAGAAGCTAGCCTTGAATACACAGAGAGAAATGTTTGAAGTGAGATTCAACTTCTAGCAAATACCAGATACAAGGGCTTCTTAACAATAACAACAGCTGAATTCTCCTAAACTCGGAAAAACAGATCAATTCAGGACCAAAATGGATAGTTCTGTAGGGGCACATGGACTGATGATCTGGGAATTTTGTTAACATTATGGACATTGGTCACCCCACACCCTAAGGACCAATGTCTCCTCTGAGACAACTGCTGTCGTGATTTAGGTCTGTACAAAAATGATTTGAATTGATTAATATCACATTCCTGGGTTGACATCACACATTAGTAGCTGTGTGAAAAGAAGTGCAAAAAGAGGTGTGCGTTGTTGTTCACCTGCAGCATGTGGACAACTGTGTGAATGGGACAATCCAACAAGACAAGTGTTATTAAGAATTTAAATGGATGGGGTAAACTATTATTATAGTCAATATCACGGTTACCGTCGCTACAAATTGGTTATAATATCGTTAGGCAAAATAAGTGTCAAACTTCAGCCTAAACCTTTTCGGTCTGTAAAATAGATGTTTGAATATAATAGTTTGTGAGAGATTATTGAAGTTGTTGACGACTGACCAAAGAAATAACTAAACATTAATCCCCTTTTCTAGCCCCATCTATACAACCAACCCTTCATTTCCCCTGAGGCTCCTACCTGGCTCTCAGCTCCTGTCTGCAGAAGTGGGTCACAGGCTACAGCTGTGCAAAAAGGCGAGAGTGGAAAGATCTCTAAATAAAACACTGTATGATTGGGGCGCTCAGCTTCCAGGGCACGCACCGCTAACAAAGGCAGTGAGAAGAGGAGATTGATTTAAGAGCGAGATTTTATGCAAATTGCCTGGGCTCAAGTGGGTTCTCTATTCACTTCAGTTCTTTTATAAAGGAATCCATTTTAGATATGCGGCCTGTGAGTGCACTGTGAGTGTTTGTGCTGAGCGTGGACTGACAATAACAATGCCGGATAAAAATAATAATAAAATACATTGAATAAAAACATGATAAATAGAGCCATTACTTATTTCACTTGTGAAGATTCTATACAGGTTTCATTTGTAACAAGAGGGACCCCCAGTGGACACAAGTAGTTACTTCAATTTACATCAGAATCAGAATAATCTTTATTGCCACGTAAGTAAAAGGAAGTCACAGACTATAGGAAATTGCTTTGGCTCTTGTGTGAATTCCTCTTTTCCTCTTCCGCCTTTTGACTTAATTAACAATAATTAATATAAATCATATCTAACAAAATTATTTGTTATTTTATTTGTAAATGAGTTACTCTATTTAGTTTAAATTATTTCCAAGGAGAAAATATTTGACAGATGAAATGGTTGTATACACTTCAGATGTCTCAGAGAGTGGCAGATGAGGAGGTGCTGGAGGAGGACCCATCATGGGAGGACAAGCACCTAGCTAGGATGCATCACCGGAATATAGTAGAAGTGGCTGATCTCAAAAAGTTCTGCCAATGGCCAGAGAGGGCTGGCCTACAGGACAGCACAGAGGCACTCATCATGGCTGCACAGGAGCAGGCCCTGAGCACCAGAGCGATAGAGGCCCAGATATATAAGGTGTCGGTTGTGCAAAGGAGGACCTGAGACGCGTAACTGCAGAGTGCAAGATGCTGGCAGGGAAGGCCTACATGGAACGCCATAACCAAGTGGCTGGCATAGTGTACAGAAACATCCGTGCAGAGTATGGGCTGGAAACCCCAAGGTCTAAGTGCGAAACTCCTCCAAAGGTGGTGGAGAATGAGCTGTGCGAAGATCCTGTGGGACTTCCAGATTCAGACTGACAAGATGGTTATGTCGAACCAACCTGACATTGTGGTGGGACAAAAGGCAGTGGAAAGCTGTGGTGGTGGACGTGGCAATTCCAAAGGATGGTAACATCAGGCTCAAGAAGCTTAAGAAATTGAAAGGGTTCAGAGAGAAAATCTTGGTTCAGAAATGTGCAGTACTATTTACAGTGAATATACTGGGATAACTGATATTTTAAGAACTCACATAAAAACTATTAGTACCGTCCAATGAAATGTTGAATGACCTGGTGCAGTCACTACATGTTCATTCATGGGATTTATTCTGTGTCACTTGTGGAAAGAACAAGTAAAATCCAATTAGTGCTTAATCAAAAGAGCCAGGATTGTGTGACGACCTATGGGATCAGAGCAGATCAGAGGCCGTGGTCATGGGAGCTTTCCAAGGTGCTGAAATGTCACTGATAATAGTCGTATAAAACATACTGTGCATACATGTGTACATACAATAGTATATAAAAGGGAATTTTTATTAATATCTTGCCGTACATCAAGATAAAGCAAAACTTAAAATTTCCATGTAAAAGGAAATGTAATATTTTCTTTTATCAAAGTTATTTTATTGGTCCAATGACACAATATTGAGAGCGGTAAAACCTCTGAAATATTTATGTTAAAAAGTCTGAGGTTTAAGTCAAACTGAGTGTCTTTTTGTGAGAAAATAGACTAGAATGTCTTCTACACTCTACACAATGTAATGCTCCAGTTTCTATTTACAACAACAAAAAAGACGCTTGTTGTACTGCTGTGGTTATACTGGACATTCTAAAGTTGAAATTAATCACTACTGTTGCGCTCCAAGACATGGAACTACACATTTTAATCCCTCTGACGCAGCAGCAGAACATACTTAACCAGATTAGTCTGGGACAGTACGAGGTTATAAAAGGACCTCAAGTAAACCCCAGAAGTCATACACCAGAGAAGCACGTCCACAAGACTGGGTCACATTTATCCAGGAGAACATATTATTCGATCTTTGGTGTTTTGGATAACTCTTCTCAATGGAGTCTGTTGGACGGACCTCAGCCTGTGACAGAGAGACGTTCACCCGGAGAGCCCTGAGAGCAGCCCCCCGAGGACCCTCCTCACATTTTGTGGGCAGCTCTATTGTGATTTTATCATCGTTCGCAGTTTCCACTTTGGCCATGAACTGTGGCAAGAGGCTGACGGAGGACTCCAGATCCAAACCACTTTGAACCAGCACTGGACATGGGTTTATCAACAAAACTCAAATGACATTCTATTTCTGTATATTTGTAGCACTTTAGAGAGCGCACAATATGGAAATGTGTCAGAGATCAAACTCTTACCTATTAAGTTGACATTTTCTAATCATGTTACTGCTGTTAATGAACATTGCCGCTGGTAAGAGATACATAATTATAACCCATAAATGTCTGCAATTGATATAATGTAACCATTTCCCATGTACTTTAGTTGACAGTCAAGTGAAGTGATGCAAGAAAAACGGGTTTTTGAAGTTTTACTTTTGGGTGATGGCAAGGTTCAAGGACTGTTGATGATCCAGGACATTCATGGGCATGCTACTCTTTGACCCTTTAAGTGTTTTATTATTTCATTTCCTTGTGTTCAATTTGTTTTTTGGTGAAGTGACCTCCACAGCGGCTCAAATCACTGCTGCTATGATAATGAGGGATACAACAAAAAAGTATTGTTATTTGCATAAATAGCACCACTAAGTGTAAACATTTAAAGATGCCATTGTAAAACATACATCATTTGTAAAAAAGCATTTTAATATATAAAACATTTTGCATGTACTCAACAAAAGAGTGAGTAATTACCACTTGACCCATTTGACAGATTTCAAAGTGTGTCAATGTTTTTCAGTCTACGATCAGAAAAGAAGCGGTGAGCAGCGGTCTGGCTCTGAACTGCTCCTGAAGAACTGAAGTAGGACAACATGGACTTGTTTTTCAGTCTCTGAGCTCCTTTTTCTCCATCCTCCTCATCATCATCCCTTATTAGAGACCGGTTAAAAAAAAAAAAAAAACAATAAAAACACTTTTCAAGAATATAACTCAAAGCTTTTACAAAATCAAACAAGAGTGAACAAACTTTACCAGTGAACTGCCACAGATTTGCTGTCCATCAAAGTTCGGGCCGTGCTCCAACTAAAGCGGACAAACTGGGGGTAACCAAACACTGGGTCCAGGTACTTTAACAGCCAGGCTTTTGTTTTGGGATCTGTCAACAATGTTTTAGGGACCTCTTTATTTAACAATGTTTGTATTGATTGATTATCACTAGTGTCAATTATACCATTTGGATATCCACTTCCGTAGTCAGTGTCCACCTCACCAAGCTGTTCAGCAAATTTCCAACCTTTTACAACTCGATCTCTGGCCACCTGTAAGAGAGAAACTCAAGAATCATTTAAAGCCTCACAAGAAATCTGAATAATAATTTCATTTTCAAAACTATGAATATCCCGTTCCTGTGTTTGGGGTGATACAGTGACTATTTGTGTTCATTGGCGCCACCTGCATGTGAAAGCCGTATCCTAGCAGATCTATGAAGCTAAGCAGGGCAGGGATTGATTAGTACTGTGATGAGAGACCTCTGAGAACACCAGATGTCAGAATGGGGCGGCTACGGCTGTAAAGTGTAAAACTGTCTTTAGGCAAGACACTTCAAAATAAGATAAGATAGTTCTTTATTCGACCCACAGTGGGGACATTTCAACGCCATCATTGTGCACATTACAGCTGAATAAAGACGGAAAGAAGCACACTCAGATTTCACACATAAAACGGTCTATTATTTAAGATAATAAAATTAAAATAATAAAAATAAGTAGTAAAGAAAGTAAAAGAGAATAAAATAAAACTCTAACTTTAAATGCACTTGGTTCAGAAGCATTTACAGATGTGTATATTGACCTTTAGCAGCAGAGAATATGACCAGAATAAACAATAGTAACAATATCAGGTAAAGTGACTCGTGACTATTAACCCACATAACATAAAATAGGTGTGTGAATACTTGATGGTGGTGGATGGACATACTGGTTGACTCGCTTCTGTCAGTGTACTCCAGCTACGGCTACAGTAATAGTTTGTCACCACTGTGTATGGATGAACAATCACATGAGTCTTTTAGCGTCAAAAAAGCTCTGTATCAAACGATGCATTATTAATATTATTACCTTTGCACAGATACTGGCTGCACTGACAACAGGAAAGAGAGAGTCAGCCTTTGGTCTCACGGTGACAGTGATGCCAGGGAAACGCTTAGAGAGCTTGTCTTCATATTTTTCTGCAGGTCCCACTGTATCAACAAAGACCTGAAAATATTCAACAAAAAAACTAAGCACCGTGTCATGAAAACACTCCTTCATGCATTTATAAAGACACCTCTTTTAGCTGCACTCCACAGTCCAGGGCATACTGAACCAAACCAATGGCAGTATCGTGTGAAAGGGCATTCAGATTATATTTTGTTCTATAAAAAGGTCCAAAATACAATCACATACTAAAAAGATTAGCGTAAAATATGCAAAAGAAATACACAATAGTTGTAGTAAAATACCTTTGTAACATACTGGTTGAAATAGTATTAGGTGAGAGGATCTGCAGAGCCCAGCCTATAAAAGACTTGGCTTCATCCAATTTTTCAAAGAGGTTTTCTCTTTCATCTTCAGAAAGAGTCTTTGAATCTAAACATTGACAAAATACAAAGACATTTTACTATTAAGTGATCCGTACAACAATTAAATGGGTTGCGTTCATGTTCTGAAATTATATTTTAGAAGGAGGCCAGGTGCCCTAATAACACAAGGATAAAAGCCATTTTGAAAAGATTTTTTATTCTGGATCATCGTTTGTTATTGAGTAAGTCAACGTCGTGCATAGGTTATTTTTTAATATTGTCACAACTTCTCTTGGATGTGGGCCTTTGTGATAATTTTTGTTTGAGAAATTAGCTCTGACCCAAGACTAGAAGTCTGACTTTTGATGTTTTAGCTGTCCTCCACCACAATGATAAACTAAAGTAGCTTTGGGATGTTGTACTGTCGCATGAACGCAGCCCATTGCCAAATGTGATTTCACCAAACAATGCCATATAACTATAAACGCAGTACCTGCTACTTTCAAAGCCTTTAGATCTTCTTTATTGGAAACTGGGCAGAAACATATCCCATACACCATAGGTCCTGCGTCAGAGAAGGACCTGTCACTTTAGCTGTTGGCATTATGCTGTAGACAGAGTTGATGAAAACAAACCCAGCACGGGGCCCCTGCCGGCTTCATCGATGCCCAAACAGCAGTCTTCCTCCAGACAGACACGTGGGATCTCTGAGCTCAGTCTGCAGCTGATGGAGTTGTCCGCGTCAAAGAGGCCCAGGTCCATTACTGCCGCCACAGAACCATAGACTGTATATATTAACACAGAACACACAGGAATAGTATTGTACTGAGCGACGACAAAAGAAGGCGCAAGAACATTAGCGCAAGGCTGCAGACAGAGTCAAAACCTCCTGCACGAAGTCAGTTCTCTATTACACTGTCACACAGTATCTTTTAGTCTACATTGCATAAAAGCATAATAGAATATATGTATGATGTGTACCGTTTAAAAACAAATATATCCAGATGTCTCCTGTCTTGTTTGGTGGTTGGTTGTTGTCGCAAATTTGGCGCCCAGGTGATGACGTCACATGGTGTCTTGTCTTGCAGGCTGTTTCGCCCCCTTCTGGAGGAGCGAGGACAACAAAATGACCACATATACAAGAGTTTTGAAGGTTACAGGCAAACCGGAAACTAAAGTGCGTGTGGTGGTTGTTATTGAACATTCATGATGTTATGTTGTCCTTTCAGGTCCTTTATGGCAGTCCACGTGAGCCCGGGCTTCGTGCTGCAGAGGTGCGTTTTCCACTGCCTGGTCTTGATATAGATGGTAGGTTTTTATTTAAAAAAAAAAAGTGGAATTCAGAATATCTATCTAATGGCATAAGACATCACTGATTGATGGATTGTTATATTCTAAATTGTTTGGAGGACTCTATGGAGGTTGATTATAAGATAAATGGTCACTAGGTGTCACTAGTTGACAAGAATAGCTGTTTGATATAAATACGTTGTTATTGTTATTATTGAAACAATATGGAGTTGATCAGTTGTTTCCAACCTTTTCCCTCCACAGACTTTAACTAAAGAAAGGGGGCAAAGGTCCGACGATTTTGAGTCATAATGCGACAGATAGTCAGAGAAAGAATAAAATTGCATTCTTGTAAAAACATAAATTCTTTCGACTACTAATATAGGCATCTAAATTATGCATTATTATGAAATATAATAACTTAATCCTTTGGAGATCTACTGTTAAGGAGGTGTAAATCTACCTATATTACACACATGCTTACACACACTTGTATGCATGTGAGTGTGAGGCATATTCATCGTACAAGTAGTCCAGTGTACACTGCTTTCTGAGCTGAAATTGGCCTTGCCCCTGGCTGCTTACACCCACCCTTCTCGTTCTGCCGTCCAGTCCCCCTCCATCATTGAATGGCTCTCTTTGTCTTTTTCAGTAACACGCAGTCCACAGCCGATTAAATGTGGGGAATTAGTAGTCAATTTTAGCCTCCCACACACACAAATGTACTAAACAGCTTAGATTAGTGAGGCAGTGATTGTGTTGTTATTACAGTTCACACGTCATCACTGTTTTTCCTATTTCTTTTGACCTCATACGCTGTTATCTCAGAGTATCGTTAAAATAATTCCCACAATAAACAGCTCTTATAAATAAATTGATTTAATAGATGACAACAATATAACTTTGACAATGCTTTCTGGTAAGGAAGCAAAAATACTCAAGTGAATGTTTACAAAACTAACCAGACTTATACAAAATGAAAGGAGCGAAGGTTTTACACACATTACGGCATTACATATATTAACAACATGGTAAGAGGGTCAGTATAAAATATGCATCACAAAATAACTGTGAAGCTTGTGGTAATGACCATTATTCACATTGCTGAAAAGGAAGTTGGCAGTTTAGACAAAGTAAAGAAAAACACTGTTAGGACATGGTTTTGGCCTGTTGCAGCTCACAGCAGTAGCACATGTGATCCTAATCCTTAAGACTCAGAGCTGGTTGGTTATTATCAAAGATTTGGTTAAGACTTTGCACTTTTTAACTTATTAGAAAATCTATATTAAACAAAAGCGTGAAATGTTTAACAGATTTAACTTATGTTTTAAACCTTCTTCATTGTCAGGAATGCAGATGGTCACACTTTGTATGCTATTGGCACCAGCAAAGTAAAACTGAGGTAAGTGTCCAAGACTAAGCATAAGCTAAAAACATCTTAAAGAGCTTTCATTCCCTCTCAGTTTCCTATTTTCCCCATAAATTTTGTTTTTATTAATTTCAGTAAAGTTGTGGTAATTAAAGACAAACAAAAAGACGCTATCTACAGTCAAAGAAGGAAAAGATCGTGTCCCCACTGTTAATGGTCTGGCCGGTCAGTGTAACCTTGAGATTTTGCAACGTGACATACTTTTCCCATAGCAGTGGTGTTTTTGATGCTAAGTGTAATATCAAAACAATCACACTAAATATTGTCAACACTACTTACATAAAAGAACACAATAGCATTAAACATCTTCTTTAGTTTGGTTAATAACTGATTATGTAGTTATAAACCAAATTACTGTCAAAAGTCACTTATTCAACGTGCTGTTACAATTCCCGATGGCACAATTTAGTTGAAAGTCTCTTGTCCGATGTGGCATATGAGTACACGCTGAGTTTTTAAGAACTGTGTAAGGCATTATAAATGCTTGAATGGTATTGGCTAAAAAAGTATAAATCTCATAACAACAAAATGACACAGGCACACTCCGCTCAAAGATGTCATAGATGGCAGAAGCCTTAAATGTTATTGGCACTTAAAGGAATAGTTCACCGTTTGTACATACTGACATATGTTCTTACCTTACCTTAGACTAGTTAATACATACCTGTCTGGTCTTAGTCCGTGCGCTCTGTCATGCAAACGGAGCAAAAACTGGAGCACAACCGCAGCCTCCTCTGTATATTTTGTAGCACCAAAAGGTAGCTCCCGCTAGAAGCTACCAAACTCTTCCAAGTGTTCCCTATTAAATGTATATAGTTACGTGACGTGTTACACTGCAAAGTATAGTAACACAGAAATGTAACAGTCGATTTTCTCAGCGGATAAAACGGGTACTATATTGTGAGGCGTAGTAATCTGAGGTGCGCTACGTCCGCGCACTAACTTCTCTCCGGAGACTTCTCTCTCGCTCACTTCCGTCAATAGAAGCAGCGTGACTTGTAATACACACAGTAGCAGCGAGAGAGAAGTCTCCGGAGAGAAGTTAGTGCGCAGAGAAGTTAGGAGCGCTACGTCCGCGCACTAACTTCTCTCCAGAGACTTCTCTCTCGCTGCTACTGTGTGTATTACAAGTCACGCTGCTTCTATTGACGGAAGTGAGCGAGAGAGAAGTCTCTTGCGCGGACGTAGCGCACCTCAGATTACTACGCCTCACAATATAGTACCCGTTTTATCCGCTGAGAAAATCGACTGTTACATTTCTGTGTTACTATACTTTGCAGTGTAACACGTCACGTAACTATATACATTTAATAGGGAACACTTGGAAGAGTTCGGTAGCTTCTAGCGGGAGCTACCTTTTGGTGCTACAAAATATACAGAGGAGGCTGCGGTTGTGCTCCAGTTTTTGCTCCGTTTGCATGACAGAGCGCACGGACTAAGACCAGACAGGTATGTATTAACTAGTCTAAGGTAAGGTAAGAACATATGTCAGTATGTACAAACGGTGAACTATTCCTTTAAGTTACACTTTCTGCCATCAATGACACACAACATTGACTTCACACACATTCATCCACTCACACACTTCCCATTATTCCCTCTGCTCCTCTACGGCCGCGTCAGTGTGGTGTAAACAGGCTGCTCCCAGTGTGTGGGGCTGTGTGACGGGGCCACACTGGCGGGGTCTCCTATGGTGGTGTACAGGGGCCTCTGTGTGGGGCCCATATATGAGAAGGCTGAGTACAGCCCTGGGGCCTGACTGGAGTGAGCGTAGTAGGCTCCGGGCCCCTGGTGCTCCCCGTACTCAAACTGAGCCCTGGAGGCCAGCGAGGGGAAAGCAGAGCCATAGTGTGGCAGGCTCAGGGGGGTGTAGGTGACATGGGCGCCAGAGGAAGGGGATGACGAAGCTTCTGCGTAGTGGCTGCCGGAGGCTGACTCACTCTTGATTTGGGCCTTGGCAGGGTCTGAAGGTGATGGGGAGGTCTGAGACTGCTGCTTTGACAGCCAAGCGGAGTGCCCGCTGGCAGCAGCCAGAGCGTAGGCATATGAGGAAGTGGAGGGCCCACCTCCAGACGCCCCACCGGCACTCTGGGGATGGCCGTTGGGTGGCAGGTACTGGTCAAACTCATTCACATCAAAAGGTTCAATGTTAGACATAACCTCATGGCTGATCTCTCCAATGTCCATAGTGCCGAAGTCGATGTGTGGTTTTGAGCCAGATGAGGTAGAACCAGATGTTCCCTCAGCTCCTACTCCCAGTGCACCTCTGGACCCTCCTGGTACACCCCCCTCCCGCTTTGAATCGGACAACTTTCCCGACTGTAGCTCTGTCTTTGGGGTGGTGGGAGGGGTGGGAGGGCTGTGACCTTGACCCGAAAAGACAAAAGTATGAATTTATATTTTACATGAAAAAATAGGCAGCCCTATATAACTGTATAGATGTATACATGATATACATTGACATCATGTTGAGTGAACTTGTACCTGCAGAATGGTGGTGATGATGATGGTGGTGGTGGTGGAGGTCGCCGAGGGGAGACCCGGCCCCATTATGTTCAAGGTTCAGGGTTTTGTAGTGGGATTGAGAATGGCTGGCCTCTCCTTCCCCTGGGCTGTCCGTTTCATTTACGGTCGTCAGTTTACCATTTTTGCGCCTTCGGGGCTGGTACTTGTACTCAGGGTAGTCCTTCTTGTGCTGTTTCCGCAGTCTCTCCGCCTCCTCGATGAATGGCCTCTTGTCGTTTTCGTTTAGCAACCTTTAGGAATAAGGGCGGATTTAGATATGAGTATATAATGCACAAATATAAATGTTGTTTTTTGCCTATTTGAACATATTTCTTTCCGCCTTTTTTACTTAGCTTTTCACAAACACAGAAGAGATGCTGTGCGTAAACGTGTCTCTGATCGTAAAATGATATCTACAAACCTCCACAGTTTCCCCAGCGTCTTGCTCAGCTCAGCGTTGTGCAGATGCGGATACTGATCAGCCAGTTTTCTGCGCGCAGCCTGAGCCCACACCATGAACGCGTTCATAGGCCTTTTCACGTGAGGTTTCGCTTTGCTTCCACTGTTGACGCGCACGGGCATTGGCACAAGTGTCCAGTCATAGCCGTCCAGCACCTGGCTCACCGCCTCCCTGATGCCAATGGGAAAGCGATCATCCTCTTCGTCCGATTTGGCCCTGGACTGGACACCGTCCTCCGAGTCCTCCGCCACACAGAGGGTGGTGAGTTGTTGCTGTCCGCCGAGAGGCGAGTCCTGCGCGCCCACCACTCCACAATGCGCTGGCGACAACGAGTGGGCATCTTCAGACCCCCCAGGACTGAGCTCTGCCTCAGACAGACTGTGCTCCTCGCCGGACATTCTTCTTCAATCTCGCTTTCAGCGAAATAAATTTAGCCAAAAAAGAGTTTATTTTGTGATGGATGTTTTAAGTTGTTTATCAAGGGAGTGCTCTTATACCGACTCCATGTCAGTGCGTAAAGTATCCAAAGCGGTTGCTCAAATCGTCTTTACAATACCTGTATGGAAAAAATACTTTCAATACAAAAGGATATGTTTGGCTATTAAAGAAAATTTTAATTACTGTGTTATTTAAAGATAAGTACGTATCAACAGTATATCTAGGCTATTGTAATGTACACTTAAACAAGTTAACAAAAGTCATTTTATTTACTTGCGACGAACCTAAATTGAGTATTTTTATGCTAAATATCATTTTCAAATTTCAAATTACATAACTTACCAATTGAGCTGTCCAGTGGTTCGACATGGGAGTGTGTGGCTCACTGTGGTGCCGATGAATGGCTGCTCTGTGTGGCGACAGCGGAGCTTAAAGAGCGCCTTGTGAAACGGACTGGCAGGGGGAAAAAAACTGGAAAACATTCCCAGAGAGACAGCATTCCAACACACACACATCGCCGCCCACTTGCCTACTGTCGCCCTGCTATTCGTCCAGTAATTACTTGCGAGCTCTCTGATTGGCCAGTGGCAGCGCAGCCGTAATGTGGCCCCGTCCATCAGGGGGACATGTCCAAGTAGAGGAGGTGAGATTTTACATCGTAGCGGCTTTGCGCGCTCCACAGTGCGTCCATTTACAGGCTGCAAAAGGCCTGCTTTGTTGGACGTGTTGACATGTAATATCAAACAAATAAACAATCACGACTGGAGTTATGGCACAGTTTGGCTGCCTTCATTGAAAGCCAACGTGCAATTGTATACGTCAACACTTTGAATCAAGAGCATTAAGAAACTTTCAGTTCCTTGTTAGTTCAGCTACTGTGCGTAATTCACTTGTATCTTATTCTCAAATCTCAGTTCACAGATAATGTTATATTAATGGGCGTAAATAGGCCTATTACACCAATTAAAACAATCCATGTGATGGCCTGTTTTTGTGTTAGGAACATTAACTGTGGTCTGAAGCCACAATAACTTCATGGGTTGATTAGTAAAAATATTGGAAAGAGAGAAAAAGCAGCTCCACCAGTTTGTTGAATTCGCGCAAAAAGAGCAATGTCATGACGTTTGAAAAATGGGCTAGTGAGATGTTTTTCAGAGCGGGGTTAAATTAAGATAAAAAAAATGCATACCAATAGCCAATTGCATTATATATAATTTGACCTAATTAATGCCGTTTGCAGGGACCAACATCTCTGAGTTAATTCTTTATATTGAGAGACTGACCAAAGCTTTCATCTGTCCAGGCCTTCCAAAATGGTCTACAACAAAAACGTGTTTTATTTGTAGTTGTTTTTAAGTCTGATAGACCTCGTCATGAACATGGACTGATTTGAAAGAAGAGAATCAACTTTTACAGCATCTGAAGCGCAACCGGACACAACAATGTGTCCAGTGTCTGCAATGCCGCTCTCTCTCCGCGCTTTCTTTGCTCCCTTTGTGTGCATCTCAGGTGAATTGTAGCCATGTGATCAAACGCCCAAGCCTCTATCCATTAACCCTCGTAAATGAAAAAAATGAGGAACAAAAAGCAGTTTTGTGCTTGCAAACATGGAAAAAATTGATAACAGAGAGCGATGTGTGCGACCTTCTTCCCTTATGTCCGAACGTAGACACTAGTCGCACTCACGCTGAAGGCCTGCAGACGGGACACACACGGCTCTCTCCGCATCTTCTCCTTTTAGACCCGGGATGAGATTTGGAAATGGGGACACATTAAGAGGCGGACACGTTTAGACCGTCACCCCTAAAGGACCCACGCGAGGCCTTGGAGGATGTGCGTCTCACAGCAGTGGAAACCGCCTTAAGGTGAATGCGCATCTCTGGCTGTTGCGCACATTTGCTTGAGGAGGCTGCGGTTTTACGGCAGGGTTCAGATATTGGGACATATGGATACGCATGGCCCCCCAGCGAGAACCACAGCAAGGCCACAGCGGACACTCTTCCTGAACTATTGATCCGCGGTGCAGTCTGCGTATTTGGCTGTGTTTGTTTATTTTCACATTAGAGATGTATTAGGCCACATCGTTGTTCCTCAAAAACACTTCAGACGGGCACATATTTACAATCATTTGCGAATAGTATGTCTTTGCGTTATTCGGCATAGGGACGGGCATAAAATGTCAAAAACATGTTAAAAGGCGTCGAGTGTTTTCCAGTGCAATACGTTTAATTATTGAATCCAACGGTGTGTTATGTGTTCATTAAAAAAGGGGAACATTCAGTGAACCATATCTTTCTATTGAACTGCAGGCGGATTTACTTTTTGTCGCTTCTAAACCTTACTATTTTTTATTTTTTTATTTTCTAGATATTTTTAAGGGTAATAAGGTGATTTAAATTATTTGAAATTATCTTTTGGCCTTGTTTTGTAACTGTTCATTACATTTATCATTGGCAAAGGACAATGTTCACTAAATAAACAAATACAACCCTAAAGGCAGGGCCTAAGTGAAGAAGGCCTTTGCTTATAAAAGAAAATACATCTATGTTTAATATGTTGTAATCAATGACTGAGAGGAACCCAAACAGGCCCATTAGATCTGGGAAAATGTATGAACCGCGCGCTTAATTTCACTTGTGCCTCGGGAATATTTTATGCATTTTCTAAACAACGACTGCTGTTGTTGCCCATCAATATTAATATCCCCAGTGTGTTTTTTGAAGGCTACAGTTATTGTTGTTGTTGTTTCAATCATTTGGTTTTATTGTCGAATTATAGCGAGGTTGTAATAAAAATTTAAAATGGACGTATGGAGCGACCGCTGATCTAATGTCAATCATATAACCCCTAAAAGAAATTCTGACTTGATTGAACCAAAACGCAACTGTAACTGAACCATCTTTATTGAAACTCTGTGTTGCTAATTTATGTCAATTTGCAAGATGGTTCCATTCTTAATTCATTTTGACTAGCATTTCATCATTTATTCTAAGCTGTTTTATTTTATTTGTGATGTCCTGTTGATAAAAATGCTATGAGATAATGATGAGATTCACGTTGAGACTAAATTGCAAAGAAATAGGACAAAATAAAGAAAAATATTTAAAAAACAAAATTATTGGATTGTGTAAATGTAAAATAGATGCATTAAATGGAAATTCAAAATAAATAAATATCTAAAGCAGTACATAATTGAGTTCTGCCTTCATCATCAGTCAGTGTTAAATCCACAATTCTGGCATGTTAAACAATAATTCCTCATGCGGTGAGTTAGAAAAGTGGGTTGTGTGTATGTCCTGTGTGAAGACAGGCCCGAGGCTCCATACTTAGCGTTAGAAAATAGAGCTCACATGGTCGCATCAGTGCAGTAACCTGCCATGTGACTGCAGTAATGGGCTTCTCCTCGGCCGCATAGACCACTGTGTCACAAGCCGCTTCCTCCCTGCTCCTCAGGACAGAGACCAGCACCAGGTCCCATGATCCCAACGGTCAGGGGTCACAGTGGAAGAGGCTTCAGGTGCACACTTAGTCATGGGCTACTTTTTCCCAACAGCATCACGAGAATCCAATCAAGCACTGTTTGTGAGCCTGTTGATAAACTAGGTGAAGGTCAGGAAGTGGATACACAGACAGAACCAGAAAAACATATTTTATTAACTCGAGCTGCTCCCAAGGGAAATTCCTGAAATCTGACGATGATGGAGAGAATGAGAAGTGCAGAAAAGATTCAGTGAGAGAGGGATGCAGATAAGGGGGAAAGCATGCACTACAGCGGTCAAATATTCACATGCTATAGGTCACATTCTGCATTTAAACTCCGTACAATTGTGGAAAGCATTCTTTCCCATATCAACGGGGACAGAGGGTAAAATGAATAGCGTCACTTGTTCCCAATGACGACAAACTCTACCAAAATGTGTGCGCACAAAAGACATTCTTGCTGTTTTTTATGTCAAAGCTCTTCTTCATTTTGGACTTGATAATATTTCCCTCTGCACTGTAATACAATATGTAATTCATGTTGCCCTAACTCTTGGGGCATGAATGAAAAGCATTTGTGGTCCGCCTCTTGTTTGGGGATTTCCAGTCCAGAAGCTCGACTATCAATAAAACAGAGGCTCATGTGATTTGATTATTAGGACTTCCACATAGCTCACTTCATTAGGCCATTGGGCGAACTCGACTAAGGACCCAAACAGTTTGGAAGATGCACTTGTATTGGACCATTATGTACTGTAGTATTATTTTACACATCAGATCAGCCTACAATTCTCATGCACTAGTTCTACTTTCCAATAACAGTTAACTCAATACTAAGTCTGAGTCATTCAAATGCTGTGGATAGATTCTGTTGCAATGTTTTAACGTTATACATTCATTTAATTCATGTACTTTCTTACCTTTATTAAGCCTGTTTTTATATTCTTCAAATATGATTCATGACTTGCGTAGTATTGAGATTTGTTCATTGCTAGGATTGTGGGGCAAATAAAGGATCTCTCCATCTTAATCTTAAAACAAACAAAAACATCAATATTGTAACTTGTTTTTGGAGATTTAGTATAATCACTTGTGAGTTGAATGGTTGGAGTTTGGTTTTGAAAGCATTAGAACGTTCTTCTTGATTTGACTTTGAGAACAGCACATTTACAAACACAAATGTCATTCTAGCAGCAGGAAGTTCTTTTGTGGAGCCTGCTAAAAGAGACAGGTGTCCCCTGTGTCATCTCCTATATCCTGCCTTGTGTCCTCTTGAAGCGATGATGTTTAGTGAATAAAAAATGATTCTGCTATCTGAACCTTGTACCTCTTTTTGCCCATTTTGAGGCAGTGAATTAGCGCAGCTGCAGCACTTTTAAATGGCTGCCCCTCTTTCTTTTTTTTTCTCAAGTCAGACGCTCTATGAATCCTCTCTTTGTGAGCGTTCCACAGACTTCTCATCTTACTGGCCTTTTCTCGTGGTGCTTTTTATTTAGGGAAGGGGGCTTGGGCAGGGAGAGCGGGCTGCGTCAGGGAGCTGGTGGCAGTGGCAGCGATGGAGGCGGCTGGGGAGAGGGGTGGTCAGTGCTGGCAGTGATGGAGGGGGGACTCGTTCGACCACATTCTTGTGCAGCTGTGGAGGCTGAGGCGGGGGCCGAGGGCAGAGCAGGATCATCGTTGCATCTCAGGGCATCATGAATAGTCTATTGTTCGTCTTCTCAGCCCAGTGCCTCTATCTGCAGTCCGCAAGCGAGCAAAACAAGGGAATATTTTTCGGAGTTGTGCTCGGCCAAAAATGTAGCTGATAAAATTGCATAAGGCAAGGGTGACACTTGAGGTCTTGTGCGTCTGACGAATAGAGGTGACAGCGATGTTTTGATGAAGACGCAAAAGCATCAACAATAGTAGCATTCACACCAAGAGTTGATGACGATATATGCCGCGGGTCATACAGGCCACCAGGCCATTTAGTCATGCATATATCGGCTGTTAGATACACTTGAATTTGTGGGCCCTGCAGCGCTATATGGGCCTAGCTAGAAACTGTTTTCCCCTCTCTTATTCTGAAGAAACTCTATGTTTTATTCTACAGTATATGCGCAATTGACTGGGCTGTCCATGTGTGTTAAGAACTTTGGTTTTTAACTGACTTGTTTTTCAAGTGCTATACAAATAAACTTGGAGTGAATTGGTTTCTTAGTCAACCACATTTTGTATTCGTAGACCAATTATTTGATTTCAACTGCTAGAATTTCTACGTGAAAACTGTAGAGCTGTTTATGTCCTCAAATTCTCTTTCAGTTAAAGGGCATGTGTCAATTCAGCTATTTGGGAAAGAAGCAATTTTGGAAAGAAAAATGTCCAATGGAAAAGAAAATGTCCAAATGTTTTCCCAGAACATTATTTGATAGTGATTAGATTCACAAACCTGCCTTATATGTCTGAAAGTCATTTACACCATTTATAATAAAGTAGTTAGACCATAGTTGATATTTACACACAAAGAAGATTATAATTTCATGTGGATTGGTCCAGGAATAAGAGACATTAAATCTAAGCAAAGACAAGTGGTCTGACTTTTGGCAGTGACTATAGTAAAGATCTGCCCTCCACCACCATTATAAACTATAGGCTCTTTGGAATGTTGTGATGTCACTTAAACACAGCCAAATTAGTCGGTTGATAAAAAATGTGTATTAGTCGACCAATTTCTTAATATTATATATGAAAACATTTCTAATATATGAAACAAATGAGTAGATTGTTTGGTATTTCACATTTTTATTAACAGCGACATTATTTGGAAGTGGTGTGGTGTCGAGTTAAAGCTTCAGACCAGCTTTTATCATGCTCCTTTTGGATCAACCAATCAATCGATAGGGATATCTTCACTACAGCTCTAGAACACTATAAATATCAAAAGTTATATAGGAAACTAGATCTTAATATTTACTTGATTTTCAAGACAGATCAAACTCTTCACTGACTTTTAAACAATACTGTGTGCTTTTGCTTTTGTTTGGTGAGATTTTCAGTCATATGTGTAATATTTTTAGAGCATTTTCCACACGCCCTTTTTAGTCAGCATATTGATTGTCAGGGTGTGTGTATGGTCAACGACAGACATGATTTACATTTCACTAATATAAAGATGGTGGACTACATATCAGGTAGAGTGGATTATTGGACTATCTGCTTTTCTCTCTTGGACAATGCTCAGAAATATCTCTCGCCTATACAGAATAATCAGAAAGTTAAGTTTAACCCGATGGAAAACATGTTTTTTAAGAGCTTGTATTTTTGCACATGCAGTAAACCGTTTTGAAACTTTTTTGTCCGGGTAAAGATAGGAGTAGTTGCCAAAATGTGATGTATTTCTTTACACTCTATAAATCAATGTAAAACAGAATGGGAGTATTGTATGGCATTCTTGAAACTTTTTTTTTTTTTGTGAAATGTGAAATCTTGTTGAAAAAGTGTATTGTTTATGGTCTTATATCATTTGTTTTTTATGTAGAAAAAATATATTAAATATTGATTAGATCGATAGATAGATACTTTATTGATCCCCGTAGAAGAAATTCAGGTGTCCAGTAGCAGCAAAAATAAATAATAAAATTGATCTATTGATGTATTATAATATATTAAAGGAGTCTACCACATAATTATTATTTCACTAACATGATAGATTGTCATTATAATGATTTTCTTATAAGACATTACAAATGGAGATGAGCTTGTTGATCAGTCTCAGGGAATACAATATAACAGAAGATATTGACCTTGTTTAAATAAATAAATCTATATCGAATGAATTTAAAACGTACTTTAAACCATTTACTTTTTGCCACTTGACCCAGTTCCTCCCTCTTGCAGTGACACCATCACCTCATCCAGATTAGAGCAAAAAACCCTGTGATGTAATTCATTTAATCAGCGCTGCTTTGTATTTATCTGATACAAACTGATGTGAAACCACAAATAAAGTCATATTCCCGAAAAGCAAACATGTCGTCGTCTTGATTAAAATATTTGAAATGCCATCAAATGTTTTCACTGTTACGTTTCATATCCAGGAGGAAGGCCGAGCCCGGGGAAAGCTGGAGAAAGTCTGCAATCATGAGTTCTGCGGAGAACATTCAATTAGTGTGTGAAGGGAAGAGGCGAGTGACGGAGCCTGAGGGGCCGTGGACGGAGCGCGACATGAAAGAGGCTGTTGTCGACCGCGCAGACATGCAGATAAAAGGCAAGACGCAGAGATGGATGATTTGAGCAGCAGAGAGTGAGAAATATTCTGATTTATAACTGTTTTATTCCTCGTATTCAATCAGTAATATTGTGAGGTGAAGCCCACTCTATTCATCTTCACCAACACGGCATCAATAAACTCACTGTGTAGAATATGGCATTACAATAAGTGGGTAAAGATGGGTTAGAGGGGTTATTTTTAAATCACAGACATTGATTGGAGTGAAATCCATCTTATCTCTCTCCTTGCTCTTAAAACACTCTGTCTCTACTGTTAGTTTTCATACTGTATTTTTGTTTTGTCACATCTTTAGATCAGCTTTTTCAGACAGAAAAGTGAATAAGAGCTCTCATCCCAAGCGTCAAATTGTAACTCACAGGGTTCTTTCTTACAAGTAGGAATAAGATAAACTTCTCTAATGAGATAATGAATATGTTGTGGCCTGCTTTGTTGAAAAAATATGACTTTAACAACGTTTTTTTTATGATGGAACAAACAATATGTATTATGTATGATGGGAAAAGTTAGGTACCCCAGCTTTGAAACAACAAAAACAATAAAACAGCTTCCATTTTGTTTTTCAGATCTATTTCTATGATTGGATATCAAAATGGAAGGTAATGAATAAGTGCTGCTGTAATCATTTGTAGGCCATGCAGTAAACATGCAGTAACAGTAATCCAGGTCCAGTTATATGGAGCATCCAAAAAGCAAAATGTCTCAGGACATTTAATTATCTGTAAATAACTGTAATTTAGTAAAGATTTAATGCGATGTGTTGGGTTGAATTCCGTGCACATGTGACCTCAGCAGCTGTCGCACAGGTCGCAGTCCAGTTTTCTGCAGTGAGTTTGTTTTCTTCATCAAACCACAGAGTCACAATAATGTCATCGACAATAAATAATCACACATTCAACAAACATTTACTTTTACAGCAGCAGTTTTCAGCATTTTTCCCAAATTGTTATCATATGATTTGGCTTTACTCCAAATGCCCTGTCTGGTTCAGCGTTTCGATTCGACACGCTTATAGCCACAAAAAGTCTGGATTCAATATTATTCTCTCAAAAATCAAAATTTGACATACTGCATTTACCAACCTCCTAATCAACTTCATGTTTTTCCAATTAAATGGGATGTTGAACTACTTTCAATCACTTATAATAATAGTAAAATCAGAAATAATTATCTTCCTGCTTGAAATATCTGTACATTTCAGTAGATGATATTTTCAGAGAAGATTATTTTGACATTATTGTTGAGTAAGTCAGTGTTGCATGTTTTTTGGTTCATAAATGATATATGTTGTTTGTCCCAAAATTTTGAGTTTTGTAAAAGTAAAATATTGTTGAAAAAATTAGACCACAACAGGATGTCTTCATTTTATTTGTAAACTCTTTTGCATACCTGTAAGGAAGATGGCTGTGAGTAATTTTTGGATGTTATGGTCTGAGAGCTGATTGGCTGAGTGAGGCTGGTCTTCTCTAAAAGCTAAAACTATAGTGATAGAATAAAACTGTTATTCAAGCTAAACCTAAAGTTTTTGTGGTTGAAAAGTTAGGCACCCCAGCCCCGAACACATAAATACCAGGGGAAAAAAACGACTTAACATATTGTGGATCGGAGAACGAACTAAAGTCTATAAATCTGCAGATGTAATGTGAATGTTCTTGTTTTCCCAGAGCTGTAGAATGACACGTATAGTCAAAATGTCCAGAGATAATTTGCCTGTGGCGCTTCTCAGGCCTGGTGCATACATTTTCCTTTGCTCTTTCTCTATCTAGTGCCACACAATGCCCCGCTGTCTGGTCAGCGAGATGCTCCACAGCTACACAACACTCTCATTATGGAGTCAAAGCCCCCCCTGTGCCTAACTACTGTCCCCCGCTGAGCCACACCACTGTCCCCAGCTCTGGTCGCTCTGCCCCGGGCCCTGAACGCATAGACATGAAAGCGCATTGGCACATGAAGGGAAGTACACACGGCACCTTATTAGCCTCCATCCTTAGCGACCCATTAGCAGCCTTAACTGAGGTCAAGGGGGTCAGCCAGCTGCTCGGCCTCATGCACGCTCGATGACAGGGGGTGTGACCACTCACTAAATTAAGCAGCATCAGAGAGAGACGCAGGGATGGAAGGAATGACACTAGGGGAAATGAATGCTAAAGAATGCACAGGAGATGGCATTTGATCGCATTGACAGATGAGGAATAGCTCAGAAGATGCAAAATAAGGATCTATGATAAAAGCAGGTGTGTGAACCAGGCTTGAAAACGTGCCATATCCACACCAATGATATCTGAACAGGTACAACTGGATTTGGCTCTAGTTGGATGTAGCTAATTGATAAATATACAATCAAACAAATTTTATGGAAATGTGAGATTATTATCTCTTTATTTAGAGTCAAGTCATTTTGGGTTGACTCCAAAAGTCTATTCCAAACATTATTGGTTCTGCTTGGACCTTTTTGCTTTATTACAGGTTCCTAAATCACATTTCAAGTGACATTTACCACAGCAGTGAAAATTGATAAAACCCCAAATTTGGAAATACTACAGTTGAATAGATCCTATCCCCAGACAGGTTTGTGGGGTTAGGATTTTTGGGAGTTTGAAAGAAAAAAGGTCAACTTTAATCTGTTAATCATTTTACAACTCTTGCCTATACGTTTGGCATGAGATTGTTGTTAGACAGTACAACTTCACACATTTTAGAGAATGACGTACATTTACAATGATATATTAAGGCGACAAGTTGTTTATTTCTACTGTTTGGCCTTTATTAGTCTAATATTTTGCAAATGTATGTATTCAGAGGGTAAATCTATGGTTTCATATTTTGCATTGCTGAAACATTCCACTCCATAACAAACTCAATATTTCAGACTTGGTAGTAGTTGTAGTGCTGCAGTCTGACCACAAGAGGGAGCTAGTACCACAGTACAAAAAGCATCATTACATGATAATCACGATGGCGGCGCCTGTAATTCTGTAACAATAAAACAACTTTAATTTCATACTTTAGGTCTTTATTTGTTTTTTTTCATTGTGCATATAAAATAAATAAATATCTTTATCACCAGTGACAAGTAAGAATATTGATTGAAACAAAGTGCTTTGTTAATTGCCATAAAGGAATCTTTGCATATAGGCCTTATGGCAGTAGTTGTTGGGAAAAGGTGTATTAAGTTGTATTTAGATATATCTAATAAATAAATTAACAGACTGCTTGCTCAAATATGATGTTATTGAATCACTAAAAATCTGTACTAAAGAAACTAAAACAAATCATTTATTTTGGGCTGCAGAGAATCCTTTTGCACTGTCATGTATGTTGTATTTTTGCAAACACACTCAACACGGTGCTTGCTGCACTCAGACAAAGAGAAAACATTGTCGTTGACGCTCAAACTCCGGACTCTCTGCTGATGTATAAAGGTAGAGTGGGTTGAAGTTTGCTGAGACTCATTTGATTGTCAGTGTCCAGCATGCATAGCATCTCTACTGTCTGCTTCTCTAGAACAGTCTCCTTACAAATTGTTTGGAAGTTTCCTCTAAGAATTGCTCCCTCCTTCTCATCCTGATCTTCATCTTCATCCCCAGAGCACAAAGCCACCTCGTTCTCATAACAGAAGGCGCTGGGGGAGTGGGTGCCCAGCAGGCGGCGTGCTGCCTTTGGGGCAAAAGGTGAATGTGTGCGTGAGCAACTGGAAGAGGAGGAGGAGTGGCTGCCCAGGTCTCTTCTCCGGCTCAACTCCCTGGCACTGCAGTGAGGTGTAGATGGCACTTCATATGTCTTGTGAAAGTGAGAGTAATCCACATGATAGCGGTCGCCCTTCTCAAAGATCACTGGCTCAAAGCGATGACCCCACAGGATCTCCTTGGCTAAATAGGAGCTTCGGGCCTGAGTCGTCATAGCTGTGGCCTCCACCATACCCTCCAGAATCACCACTATCTCAAAGTCCTGGTTTTGCAGATCAGACCGGTTAAAATTGTACAAAGGACTACTCTTGTTAATCACATGGACTATGACGAGAGGTGAAACTAGAAACAGGCGGTCAAGACCTTCATCATAGCCGACATCAATGTCTGTTTGCTCAAGCGGGAGATACTCCCCCTCTGCCGTGACGTGGGGCCTGATGAGCTGGGCACGAACATGAGCCTCAACAATGTGGCTCTTTCGCATGTTTCCTAAACGCCACATGAGGCACAATTTACCATCTCTCAGAGCAATCACAGCATGATGTGAGAATAGCAAGGTTTGTGCCCTCTTCTTGGGCCGCACCATTTTGGCCATGATGGTGCCTATCATGAAGGAGTCTATAATACAGCCAATAATGGATTGAATCACTACAGTCACTACAGCCACAGGGCACTCTTCAGTCACACAGCGAAAACCATAGCCAATGGTGGTCTGCGTCTCAATCGAGAAGAGGAAAGCCCCAATAAAGCCCTGTATGTGGAGGATGCAGGGCCTCCACTCTTCTTGCACCACATGTTCTGAGCTTTCTCCATCCTTCAGGGGTAGGTGAAGCTTAAAGTCTCCATGAGCCAACGCTACGGTCCAGAAGACGAACCCGAACAGCAGCCATGACAGGAGGAAGGTGGTGGTGAAGATGAGTAGCAGATAGCGCCAGCGTATATCCACACATGTGGTGAAAATGTCTGCCAAGTATCGTCTCGGCTTGTCTTCCATGTTGTTAAACACCACATTGCACTGTCCATTTTTTTTCACAAATCGGCTGCGGAGGCGACCAGTGCTGAGATCCAGGCCCAGGCGACAGGAAGGAGAGCCCCGACAGCTGTGGGACACTGGCTCATTTGGTACCCTCAAAAACAGAGCACCTCTGGGCTCCTCTGTGTCAGAGCAGTCTCCTCCATCCTTCTGGTCCACCACTGCCATGCAGCCCTCTGTCAGTGTGTGCACAGGGCTGCTGCCATTGTGAAGCCCAAGGGTCGAGATTTGCACAGCGTCTTCATCTGTGGATACAATGCTGTATCTGTAATACAATAAGATGTCGACAAACTTACACCTTAAAGCACACGGGGTATTTAAGTTTGAGTTTGCATAATAGTTACCTGTTGACCCGCACCGCTCCCATGGCACCAGTGATCATGAGCCGTGCAGTTCCAACCATCAAAGAACTTGCTGGACTCGGAGGCAGTAGAGGCTCCGGAAGAATTGTTTTCATTGAAGCAAGGCTTCAATATGTTACATTTTCTGAAATAAAGGGAAACAGTGAACACAGACATTTTATGAGAAATTGTTGCAGCGAGACGTGTCGTGCAGCTCAAACACTTTTGTATGATGAAAGTTCATTGATCAGTATCTTGTATGGCCCTAGCCTAGGGGACCTCTGAACCTCTGAAAAACCAGACAGGGATGGGACAGTGGTCTAAAAAGAAATGAATCAGTGGTTATCTACTGTTAGAGGAACAATTGATCTGTTGTTTGGCCTGGTGACAAGCTTGGAGGGTAATTTTGTTTGGCTTATGTCAGCAAGCTGCCAACCATGAGAACTAAAAAGCATTCTGTTGCATAACCATTGCGGGACAACTACACGCTAGGGCAACTGTGGTTATTTTACACATGCAATTCATTCAATGGCTGATGTGGCCTGACATGCGGTGTTTGACAACTGTACTTTACACTTACTACATTTGTAGTGAACAATCACAACACAGTTTACACCAAGGACAAATAAAGTCATGCCTGATTGGCTTCAAAAGAGCCATTTCTACCTTAATGCATCAAACAGCTGAACATATGAACAGAGCAATTGATGATCTTACTCTTTGTTGGGTTGCCCAAATTAAAACTTGTGCTGATGGCACTCATGTCATCATACAGAGACAAGAGCAGGAAATCACAACCTGTACACATCCTTACTTTTTGTAATTATTGCTTTTGTTTAATTAAGTAGCAGATGCCCTGTTTCTCAATGTTCATTCTTCTGCTGATATCTCAAAGGGATCCGTGAGCATCACTGTAAAATTACTGCATACAGTGAAAAATAGTCCATTATTAGTTTAATTTATAATTGCTTAATTCCAGACAAAAACTAGGAGTAAAGCCCATACATATAAACCTGCTGATTCAGGTATTGTTTGTGGAGATGTTATCTAAGGAACAAAAGGGGACACCAATGTGTCAAAGTGAATCATAGACATAATCCCATGTAGAGAAAGGGAGTTGCTGATAAAGACAAGATTACAATGTTCTTTAATCCTCCAATCCAAACAACAATATGAATAACGATTTGAGGCTTTGATGTGACCAAACCGAAGACCTTGGTAGTTGGCCTCCGATTTGGACAAGAACCCAGCGGACACAAGGAGGACCAAAAATAAGGTTATTACAAAAATAACGGAGAATGTATTTGAATGTTGTTACTATATAATTTCAACCCGTGTTGGACACCAGGAATAAATGAAGATTATTATAAAGAGATTATGACATCAATGGTGAACCCTGTAATGGCATTTGCACTCGACCAAGGCATCACAGAATATAATCTGTTCAGCATACTTTTTGCTATTATGATTAGGTGGAGAACTCAGAGCGTTCTGCCTGTGTTAACAAATCAGGGTTTCAGATTCGACAGAAACATAAAGTATAAGATATTGAGCAATAAAGATTATTTGGTTTAACATACATATCATATAACCTTAAATATAGCATTTAGCTACTTTTTAAATCTGTCAATATATCATTAGTGAAACACTGATTACTGTACAGATCAATTGTTCAAACAGTGTAGCTGTTGATATGAACACTACAGGCAGCCATGACGTAGATTCATTTGAATGGGGTTCACAGGAGCTGTCCAGTGCTGAAAATCAATCTAAAAGCCCAGAAGACAAATCAACTACAAGGGGAGGGGTGAATACTAACCTTCAAACTTGCTTAAGTTTATTGCAACTAACCACCTGTCAGTTTATAAATTCTAATCTAAATACATTTTGAAATTAACTTAATGATAAATAATGTTAGCATCCCCGATGATATTGCTTTGTAAGGTTTTAGGAACAAATCATTTTTTACATGAAATATGGAGCATGTAAAGTGGGTTTTAGGGAAAATGCATCAGAGTACTCACCTGTGCAGTTGTGCCAGACTGCTATGAATGGTAAAATCCTCCAGATTGAAATGTATTTGCAGATGGCATATTATTCATTGCTCTTTATCACAGAAGTCCTCAATGTGCTCTGAAGAGCAGAAGTTGCTCATATCTCCGCTGGTCTGTGTGTAGTGCAGCAGGCAGCCACACAAACACTCTATCTGAGAGAGAGAGAGAGAGAGAGAGACTGACTCCTGTTTACAGAACAGCCTATTGTTCACTCAGATCACTGATTACTGACGTGGACCGATTGTAAACTCTACAGAGTTTGTTTTACAATTCCTGGACTGCTACAAACTCAATCTTTTACATTAAACTCCTTTTATTTCCGGATCTTCTCTGTATACCTTTCATTAGGGGGTACAAATTATAAATCATGAATAAATATTAAAACAATCATATGCCATCATAAAGACAATGTGCATGACTGAAAAGCTAAAACAACAATTGTTCTGCAATTTGTACGTTTTTTTAGGCTTTTGAGACTCAACTTGGTTTCCAAGGAAACGTGATTTGCCTATTTCTGTTCACTGTCTTTTCGGTCCACACTGTTTATTTTTACCACGACTTTTTGTGATACAATGAGACAATGGCAGTTGAGTTATGGAGGAGGGACATGTGCACCGAGCAGAGTGGATACATGTGGGTCAATAGCACTAGTATGGGCTGAAACTAACACTCACTAAAGGCAGCAGCCTCCTGCACAGTATACAACTTAACACGGATATCTGAGCAAAAGCAGTTTGCTTGCTGCTCATCTTTTTGCACATGTTTTCTTCTACCAATCTTTGAAATCTTCAACAAACATTTGGACTGGTTGAAAGATTTCCACATCTAGTTTCATATACATAGGTACCAAACATATGATGTGTGAAGTCACTCATCTAATTTACTGTATGTATTCATACTATAAGATTCAGAACCAGAGTTTTACCCCACAACAGACCAGTCACAAAACCTGTTTTAAATCCAGTGGATAATGTCTACTCTGCTCCACTTCTCTCATTCAGGAGGAACAGTGGGGTTTTCTCCTGGCCACTGATCTCCGGTCCAGCTCTATACCCTCCAAGGATCACAGGAGTTCCTCTAACCTGTCCACATTGTGGTTCTGGAGTAGTTATTCAACCATGTTCCCCAGGTGTCCTCTGGGAAGTACAGGGTCTGGGGTCTTTTGCTGAGGGCCGTTTGATCTCAGTGTGAAAGGTCAAGCTCGCCATGTACGGGTCAATCTATGTTCCCACCTTCACCTACTGTCATGAGATTTGAGCTCATGATACAAACACTTGAAACGCATAAGCCCTGCAGAAATGTGAATCGCCCGTAGTCTGGAGTACATTGACTGGTGTGACTATTTTCACAAAGGTTGAACAGGTTCAACTCCTGGATGGAAGAGAGTGAGAATGGATAAGACCTTTGTGATACTACTACACCTACTTACTGTAGGTGAAAATACAACGTAATAGCATAGACAGATGCCATTGGAAACACCATGTGTTGTCTTTATTCCCCCTATAGGGCTTTCAACTTGATAAGTATTTGACTAGAGAAGCTATTTCCTGAAACTCCCTGTAGTATTTCTGCTGCCTCTTTGACAGCCGATCCAGGTCATGTTTGTGTGTGTGTGTGTGTTTGCTTGCGTATGTGTCCATGTGTGTGTGTCCTAATGGGGCATACACAAATTATTTTGGCTTATCTGGTGTAATAAGCTATGTGTAAATATTTACCATATGTATTCATGTTTTTATCAAAGCATATTTGTTGTTTCCTTTATTTATCAGATTCCCAGAATTGGTGTAAATAGTACCATACATGTGATCCCTTGTTTCATAAAGATAAAATACAGGGGAAACAAAAAGTATGGTTTGAAACCTCGATAAAGAGTTCAGATGGAGTGGAAAGAATCAATGGTTGTCTGTGCAAAGGGTATGACCAGAGTTAGATGGGTTGGGTCAATAAATGGCCTGCATTACTGACCACAGTTAAAGCAACCATCTTGGTGTTGTTGTTTTTTATCACAGGTTAACAGTTCACGCTGACTTTTTTGGCAGGTCCACTTGTTTTGTGTGCTTCCAAAGAGTAAAGGTTAAGTTAGTCTTTATTGTCCCCATAGGAAATTGGTTCTTTGCATTTGACCCATCCCTCAATGTCACTAGGGCACCTGTCTGGAGCGCATTACAACTGTACATTAATACAGTGTTTCCCAACCTTTTTGTCACATGGCACCCCAACAGCTGAAACTGATACAAACAGGAAACTTTGCATCTTTTAGTATGAAAGCATTATAATAAAAATGGATATATATGGAACATGAAACGAGTGCATATAATCTTTCTAATCTTCTCACATTATTTTGACGTATTATGTGATATTGGAATATTTCCCAAGGCACACCAAACAACATCTCAAGGCACACTAATATACCACGGCACACTGGTTGAAAAACAGTATCATCACAACGGTTTGTCTGTTTGTTACGTTACATCATAACGTTATGGACAGATTGCCTCGGGTGATATGTAGAAAAATGATACACAAAGACACACAGTATATGTTTGTGGTCGTGATGATAATATGTAGAAAAGTTCATTGATCATTGGGCATGAATACTGTACAATACTGTACAGTCTATACTAGCTCAATAATACTAATGGACTACTGCAGCACAAGAAGGATTTTGTCATTTTAACGCATTCAGCCCCCCCTTCTCTTCTCATTTACCAGCTGTACATCATCCCAGGCCATAAAACACCTGTCACTGGGAGACTCCACATTTCCCTTTCTAAAGACAATGATATTTGATAGGGCTCTGCCACCATATTGGCTCTATGTGACAACCAATGAATGTTTTTCACAGCCTGGTCTTTATAAACAGACTGATCCCAAATTTTACATGTCCAGCCATTCTATTTTGAGGGTACTCCATAGACGTATAAACAACAAAAGGATATATTATAAACAACAAAAGAAAATGGACATTTGATCAAAGGTAGGTGCTGCATGCAGGTGTTAAAAAGTTGCTGTTGAAATATGTGACACACTTCTCTCTATCTATATTGTTTCTTATTCTGTTAGGGTTCTCCTTAACTTGGTAGTCCTCTTGGAAGTGTAAAACAATCCCATAAATGAAGAGGTGTGTGTTTCACTTGGATATTTGAGCAGAGGGACGTGAACTTTTAAACGACATCTACCCATGACTTACTGTGCTCTAATTTTAGTAACAAAGCAGGAGCCACGTCATGTTTGTCGTTACATAATGACTAAATAATATTATTTTATCTTATGTTGAATCCTAGTGTAGGTGGTGGTGGCTTTTCAAGATTAAGATGTGACTATGGCAGCTTCTATCTTAGACTATTACTGCCGTGGTTTCCAGCCCAACACCTTTGACCCTTCTCGGTGCGGGAGCTGTCTGCGGCCTGACTACATGCATCTAAACATCAGCCCTGACAAAGAAGCTGAGCAGAAGCTGGTTAGTGCCTCGGATGATACACACTATATCAGAGAAGCTATGAAAAGATAAGAGTGGGAATACCAGACAATTGAGCATATGGTAATTGATAATAAAACCTTGTTACAGTTAGAGAAAACGGAGTAAGGTGATACACTGATGAAACTTACAGACACACCCTTACACAGTAGGTGACCGATCCCACTACAAACTAGTCTCTTAATTTTACTAAACCATAATTCACAAAGTGTATATAACTGTAATATACTTTACAGTTCACAACATATTTGCTGTTGATTGTGCAATAAGACTGAAAACTGCAGGAGCAATCTAGGTATGAGAAAAATGAGAAAAGAAATGAGTGGGCGGTTCTGGTAATGCAAAAGCACTGGTGCAATGAAATAATGATGAGCATGACCCGAGTCTAGCTTGAGTTACGTCCTGTGCAGTTGAGAGCTCCGGCTGAGCAGGGCAAACCAGAGAAGGAATAGATGAAGAAACCTTCATGTGCCTCAACATTAATTGAAAGTAAGTGCAATCTTCAGTGGAGTGTGGCTCTGGTTATTTGATGCAATTTCATTGATATTTTCATGACTCAGGTTAAGATGATGGTGCTGTTGACAAGACGATACAAGCTATATTTCTGCATCTCAAAAAGCAAAGCTATCATCTTCTCACCGTTCACATGATTTAAATACTAAAATACTACAAATATAGACATTCTAAATTCCAATATTCCCTTATTTTTTGTCCAAAGACTAAAGGTTAAGTTATACGTTATTGTTCCTTTAGGGAACTTTGTTCTTTGCATTGTGCCCTTCCTTCAATGCCAATAGGCCACCTGTCAGGATCAGCACTGCAACTTTACATAAAAGACATGATTTAGGTCTTGTGTTTTCAATTATTTGTATTTTATGTCATTGTAAAGGTTTGTCTGTCTGTTTATTACTTTACATCATAACTCATAATATTATGGACAGATTGCTACGGGCGGCTAAATTATCAGAATTTTGGACAAGGAACACATGAATAAAAGTTAAAGGTGATCTGGATCAGTGAAAGTGCATTTCTTGGTGGAGGTCTGTGGTCTGCATGTGCTTATCTAGTTTAAATTACTTTCTACAAAGTCAGAAGTTTAATTTCAGACCAGGAAAACACATGTTTTAGTTTCCACTGTTTGTAAAGTTATACATATGTATGAATTACCAAAAGTATTATTTTTGTAATAATAATAATAATAATGTTGTTTGTGTACTTTGAACCAGAATGCAGAAGTTGATGATGATGCAAGTGACCTTTCTGAGGTGATCACTGTGAGCAGTGATGACATCAGTGGTGGCTGGACGTATGAGTGGAGTCTGGGCCACAGCTTGAGTCCTGAATGGGAACTTAATATCTGTGATACTCACATACAACCCAGGTGCGTTTACAATGCTTCTAACATGTTGAGACAAATTGCTTAATAGAATAAGAATAAATTCCCATTTCCCCCCCCAAAATAAATGAATGGTGCAGTACACATATTATACTGTACATTTATAGTGTAGTAATCCTGTTGGATGGTTTTAAGGTGTCCAGGCTTTTGGGACAATTCACCCAGGACCAGATCGCAGAACTCAGAGAGGTATATTGATGATATGACCAGATTTAACCCATCTCCCCAGCGCAGCACCGACAGCCCCTGCATGGATGACAGACGAGGGAGGAACAGGTCTCGGAGACCATCAGGTAAGATAATTCATACTAGCGGAAGGATTTTTTTATTGTGTTGTTTTGTGTGGAATTTAAGATAAGATAAGATAAGATAGACTTTATTGATCTCACATTGAGAAATTTACATGATGTGACATCTGGCATAGATAGAATCACTCAGATTGTGCAAAAGAAAGAAATATGCAAACATGTTAAATGCAGGATATATTATATACAATAAAAAAGTGGCGATTAAAAAGTGGCAATCAGAAACAGTGTCAGTAGTAGTGCAGGTTTTTTTTTTAATGCACTTGTTCTGTGTCTACAGAAAATTGTGAAAGAGAAAGAGGCTTCTTATCGCCAGACAGAAGAGAGAACAGTGTGAGACACACTGAGGAAAATAATAAGAGACAATATCGTTACTTTGAGAGAGGACATCCTCTACCCTGTAACTATGTCCCAGAGCCCAAGGCCTGTGTTCCCTTTAGGACTGTTAACCTTGGAGTGCCTTCACAGAGAAGAACATCCGAAACGTTTATGCAAGACATCTGGAGAAGTGAGTCCCCTCAAAGATACACATACCATTCAAACTTCAGAAAGGGGACTGATTCACAGACAACATCTCCATCACGTCATAACTCTGTGAGCCCAGTCCGCCGCAAATTAAGTGAAACCTCTGTGGGTCACAAAAGAGGAAGCTCTCTCTCAAGGGGACAGTCCCGGTCCCATGTCACATCACAACTTCCATCTCATGCTCCCTCCAAGCATTCTTCACGCTGCTCCAGTCCTTCACGCAGACGACCGTCCATATCTCAGTCTGCCACTCCATTGCACAATCAGACTACAAACTATACCACACAAAATGGTCACTATGATGCACCAAACAGAAACAGCCGGGGGTCCAGGACCCTTTCACAGTCCTCACACAAACACAGTTTAGACTCTGAAAAACTGTATAAGAACCTTGAGTCCATCTCCCATCAAAGTAAACAGAGGTCATATGAGGGCTCTCATTCATCAACCAGGACAGCTGTCAACAGCGCTGTGCCCACTCACACACGCAACAGCAGAGATGTGTCTCCTTCAAGGAATGGGTATGGCACACGCAGCAACTCGCCGCACAAGGAGAATGGGTCCAGAGAAAGCATGCTCAGCCCCTTACAGGGGTCATGGCAAGGATCCTCACACTCTCTTCTCAGCAACCCTGCGTCAAGGGGCTCTTCGTCATCAATGCGCAAAACTGACATTCACATGCTGGCACCTGAGCCTGTCTTCCATGCAGCTGATGTTCCTGAAGTGAATCGCTCTTATGACAGGAGCCGGAGCAGTGGGAGGAGAGGAATGGATGCTCTACTAATTTCTGAATCCAAGAAGACAGCAGAAATAGTGGAAGAGGTACATACAGTTGCACTTGGAACATTGCATAACTTAGTAACTTTTATTAAAATGTTATATGAATATTTATATAAGGTGGGAATGACCATAGACGACTACATCGAACTGGCTGATATTCCAAAGATTTACCTGGAATCTGAAGAGGAATATGTCGGACTTAGAAAGAGAAACCAAAGCCCAAGTCCCTGCAGAAATCAAAGAAACAAGAGTGAGAGGTATATCATAAATCAGAACAATATGACCGTCTCCCTTTTGGTTAAATTTCCAAGTGCTAACTTTTGTTTGTTACTTACGTGGCAATAAAAATGATTCTGATTCTGATTAATCTTGATATTCCCTCTGTAATGGCAGGTACACAGATGAAACACTTGTGGATAGTTCAAGACTGGATTCAGATTATAGGGGACGAGTAAGAGAGAGAGGCAGAGATAGAAGAGAGAAATGCAGGGACGTTGAAAGTGGACAAGCGTCAAGGAGACAATCAGTGACTTCTGTTCATTCACAGGTGAGAAACATGAACAACAAAATGACATACGCCATCAGTGATAATCTAATGGGCAATGTATTTCTGTCAAGGGATCAGAGAATCTTAATGGGAAACACACATTTTCAAGGACAAGACGGTGCACTGCTTCTGAGCCACAGACACAGGTGAGCTCTGTGTATATTTGGAAGAAAATGGGACACTCTTAATATCGCCATAAAGTAGTTCACTGAAATCCACACAAGCACTGAAGTTAATGTACTGAAAGCCATTAGTTGGCAGTCTGTTTTAGGCCATGTGCTTTCGATCCATCTTCTCTATGAATAGGTGCAAGGAGGATTTTATCCAAAGTATCTTGCAGTCTCAGCGGCCAGCACCACAGCTGAAACTGCTGAGCCAACCTGATATTTAGAGATGTAACAATAAAACTTTCCACGCAACAGCATAACTAGTGTGGAAAGTTTTATCATGACAATACCATAGAATTGGTCATGTACAAGATTATACCATGTAGCAATTATTATGTGATTGAATTACTTTTTTTTTTCTGACACTTGCCGCGGACATGATGTGGTGAGTACATTTGACATGGAGGTGATTCCTTTTATTGTCTTTGTATCACTTTTTAATAGCTTTAAAGGTGCAGTTAGCGATTTCGTTAGCTTAGCCGTAGCACCAACTCGAAACCACTCCCCCTCCCCTCGCCTCTCCACCAAACCAAACATCCAGCATTTTCTTTTCTTTGTCACAACAGGGAGAGTGGGTGGCAAACGTGAAATTGGCATTTTCTGTTCAGCCCTTTTAGGTTTTAGAAAATCAAACAACTCAGGTATGCACACTCATGAGAAACAGGAAGGGGGTGAAGTGGGGTAAAGGCATCACTGACTGCATCTTTAAATCATTCTGTTAAAATGTAATGGTTGTTTCTTGTTCTGGATGAGAGGGGCAGTTCACAGTTCACTTCAGATGTGTTTGTCATGTTCTTCTTTCAGTTAATTTGTATGTAAAGGCGTGGCTGTCTTTTCTTGATGAGCATGGAAAGGTAAGGATTCCAGGAATATAATTTAGATTATTTAGTGTTTAGTGTGAAGAAATATTGTCTACCTATACAAGCAAAACTGTAAACGAATAATGATGTACAGAACAAAACTGTTATTACTATAAAAACAAAAATAATGTTATAATTTATTATCACATTTTAGTGGAGAAAACACTGGTTCGTTTTAGGAGAATCTTCAGTAAGATACTACAGAGATTCTGAAGCTGAGGAGGTGAAACATTTATATTGTTTGTAAATGTGACTTCTAAACAATAAATGTTTATATGTTTGACTTCCTGCAGTCTGAGGATCCAGAGGGTGAAATTGACTTGAGGTCTTGTCTGGATGTCTCAGACTGTGATGTGCAGAAAAACTATGGGTTCCAATTGCATGTATGTATTTTTCTGTACTTTTGCTTTGGACACAAGGCAAACACCTTTCATGTTTCCACATCAATTACATGTGCTATTGCTTCCTGTTTAACAGTGTGAATATCTTGGCTCTTTCTTTTGATCTCCTCCAGACAAAGAAAACAGTGTTCACTCTCTCCGCCATGACCTCTAAGATACGACGGAACTGGGTTAAGTTACTAAAGCAGGCCATCCAGAACAAGTCACAGTGAGAATTATTTAATATTGAGTAAAATACCATGTGTGTATAAGAAGCCACTTAATACTATATAAGATATGCATTTACCTTAATAAACAAGTATTCATTATTAATTAAAGTAAGCAAGTAATTACATGATCTTCATCTAGTGCCTTTCACAGATCAGAGTCACAAATGGCTTTACAATTGTTGTGAGCATTTGTCTCTCACTCCCATGGATCTATTATATTAACGCTCACTCCACACAGAGATGGGAGTAAGGTCGCCAGTACCGGAGGCGCATGCCAGACCTATTGTACATGTTTTTAGTAGTAGGAGAAAGCGGAGCACCTGGAGGAAACCTACGCAGACATGGGGAGAACATGCAAACTCCACTCAGAAAGCAATACAGAGGCTGCCAATCGGTGCAACTGATTGGCATCAACATTCACAGCTCACTAGGTTAAACTACACCTAACTTTGAAACCACAAAAAATAACTGAAAATCCATGTAACTAGTTCCAAGCTCATAAAACTGTTTGGTTCTATGACTAACTTTCACATGCGTGTATTTTTGTCACATTTTTTAATAGAGAGAAGGTTAGAGAGAGTACTAACCTTCAATCAGCTCGCAATTAGTAAAAGATAAAAAAGATATAAAGAGTATAGAAGCTTGTTATGGTGTGATTAGTTCATGAAATGTTAAACAAAACTATCTCTGTTGGGGCCAAAAAAATGTGTAAATTGTCAATCTTTATTACAAGACAATGTGGTTGAAGTGTCTTGCTTCTTGACACAACAAGTATGTACACCTTAGATTAGAGGCCGTTACGTGCTCTTAGAATATATTCAGACCAGTGCATTCCAATACACCTTGAAGAAATACAAGCAACATGGCTGGGTGGTCCTTTTGTAGAGAACTAACTCTATCATATTTCTTCTGATGTGTAATTCTATCCGTCTCTCATTTCCTCATTTTGAATCAGCCAATCAGAGACCGGCAGCGAGAAAGCGGACCCTCTCTCCCAGAGACGGTCACCATGCCAACCCTCCAGTCAGTTCACGGAGGAGTCCAGACACAAACCTGCGGTGCACTCCCACCAGGACTTGTCCCAAAGAGAAGAGGGAGAGGGCTGGGATCGGGAGCAAGCCAAGCGATTGGAGGAGAGGAATAAGTGGTTTGAGGAGGGACTTTCCTTTAATGAAATGTGCAGCAGGTGGGACTCCATGGAGCTGAAAAAGGGGAGTGTACCTATACCTGTAATTGATACCATTGACACAGAGGTCAGCAGGAAATGGTCAGAATTGGAAAGGCTTTCGTTTCGGGAGATGACAGCTCAGTTTCTTATTGGAAATGGGACCTTGCATTCAAATTCACAACAAATCTCTGATTCTCCAAACGGCTCCCGGACTTTTGAAGAGTGTGCCAACACCTCTTCTACCACTAACAACTATGTTTCAAAACATTCTTCATTGACTAATGGAGCTCAAAACAGTCATAGCAAAGCTGATGTCTTCCAGAAAGAGGTATGTATGTTTTCTTTTATTGACATGGATCATGTCTGATACAAATGATTGTTGCTTCATCAAGCCCATCTCTCTTCAAAAGCAGGTGGAAAGCATTGAAAAGGATCACTCAGCCCTGGGAGTAGTAGTAGACAGTCCTTGTGGCCCTGGAGCCCCTTGTAGAGCCAAACTGGAAGCCATGGTAGAATCTCACCAGAGAGAATTACAGCAGCTACGAGAGAAACATGATCAGGAGATCAGAGAGCTGAAGGAAGAGCAGGAAAACATGCTTAAAGAAGTAAACCAGGCCTCTGCTAAAGGTGTGGTTTGCCCCCGAGGCCAAAATGTATCATGTGTATCTTCAAACATAACATAATAACACATTTTAAGGCACAAACATACAATTCTGAAATTTACAACAACAAACAATAACAGTGAAGCCACTTTCTTCCACCAACAAAAAGCTTGGATTTCACAATCCAAGAAACCACATTCTTTGCATGAGTCATTGTACCGTATCAATTGAATAACAGGACAAAACAATACAAAGTAATTGGTAATGCAATCCTTTTTCACAATCAATAGTATACAATAATAAAGACAAAATTATGATTAAACTAAATATATCAACATATTAATTATTGGGACACATTTACTTTGCATTCAATACTTCAGACAAAGGTTGTTTTATATCATAATTAAATTGTACCCAATTAAATCTTCTCAGCTTTGGAAAAATTGAAAGCAATGCACTTAGAGGAAATGGAGAAAGTAAAGGAAAGAAGCCAAGGAGAGGAACGAACAGTGGAGCCACCGCAGAACGTGTAAGCTGATTACTTCATGAAGACTGTGGCCTCAATATTTCTTATTCTTGTTGTGTTTTGTGTTAGGTCACAAGTCTATTCATTGCACAGTGAGTTAGATGGACTGTCGGGGCAATATTCCCAGAAGGGCCTCGAGCTGAACTATACTGGAAACACAGATCTGAAAAACACAGAGAGAGAGCTCGAGCAACTGAGAAGAGAAAACCAGGTTCTGATTTTAATTTAAACATGATTATCACACATACAACTATAGTAACATCCTTATTTCTAGGATCTAAAAAACAGGCTAACTGAAGAGATCAGTCGGATGCGTCATTTCATCACAGGCCAGAACTCGGAGCCAGTTGGCAGCAATGAAAATTATGCACAAATGGAGGTATTAAATATATTAGTTTGGTTATTGTATTTATTTGTGTATAATATGCTCTTCATTAGCAGTCTAATCTAGGAAAACATCATCCAATAGTTTAGATGGGGTCCCAGTGGGGACTCAGGACACCTGGTGGGCCTCAGAGGCACTGCAGAAGGCCCCAAGGGTTGTACCGACTGTATATACATAGTTCCTACATGACGTCACTACATACGGGGATTTGCCGACCCGGCGCCATTTGTGTTGGCATGCTGTGGGCAAAACAATAGAAAAAGAAGCTGAAACGTGTTAATGTCGTGATAAAGTTGAAAATGGTCGTCTCCTGCTGGGTCAATGGATGTTCAAATCGTGCCGGAGGTTCCGTTAAACTTGGATTTTACAGTATACCCATCATTAGACTTCATGAATGTGAGAAGACTAAGCTTTTGTCAGAACAACCACGGAGGTTATGGCTTGCGAAGATAAACAGGCAAGAAACTCCCTCAAAACACGCAAGAATATGCTCGGAGCACTTTGTGTCAGGTGCGTATCGTATCTTATAATGTGTTGACAGACGTAATTTACTCAGTACTAACTTGTGTATGCTGATATCTGGTAACTTGAGAGTTTCATTATTTAGCGTTAGATTACTTTATTATGAGGAGGATCGGTGTCGCGTCCGAGGCTCTCGAGGGCAACGTAAATGTATTAAATAGATAATAATAGTTCTATGGTGGGCTAAAACAATGTTCACAAACAGCATTGCTTCTGTAAAAAGATCTATGTCATAAAATAAACTGCTCTTTACGCCTGGAAAAATCAGTTGCCCACCATTCACCAAAACATACGGTCAAAAACGCGGAAATAAACAATAACAGCAATCCAGAGTGTCCGTGTGGCATTAGCATTAATTAAATTAATTGTTAATATAATTAAAATAATTAAATGGAGCTCCAACTGGTATTAAATCTAAAGTTTTTGAGAAATGTATGCATTGCTTGTTAATTTTTGCTGCATAATTTGATCAAATATGTAAAACATGTCCGTAGCACGTTAAACTGTGGTGCCATTGTATTAATATACAATTATTTGCTCAAAAGTTGCCCTTTTTTTCCAATTTGCGTTTGAATATCTACATTTATTCTCATTCTTCTGTTTAATGGAATGCACAAACACAGCAGCGTGCCATCAAAGATGGCGTCTCCGAGGAGGTCATGTGACATTCATTGGTCTGTGGGAACTATGTATAGGTTGTACCCAAAGTTGTACCACAGTCTATGGGTTGTACACACAGTTAAGTAAATCTAAAATATTTGTTTGTAATTATTACATTACAGCAATATGCGTATTTGTTCTATGCTTAAAAAGTAAAACCATGACATATACCCAAGTCAGAAAACCATTACATTGTCACATAGGGTTGGCATGACCAGCTACTACTTTTTATGGCCTGAAATAACCGTTATTATAAAAGATCCATGGAAATAACTACATAATTTCGTCCATTTAATTTATTGGAACTGTTCCCATTTAGGTGTAATACTGCCCCCTAGTGTTACACCCTTAAAAGCACAGTTTAACACGTCGCTTTTTTTCAGACTCTTCTTAAAGCAAAAGAAATTGAAGTACTGAGTCTCAGAAGAGAGATAAACAGCCTTCAAAGTGAAATACGATCTCTTACTAGGGTACATTTCATTATTTTATTTCCAAATATTTAAACAGATGATATATTTGTTGTTTCTTCTTCACCTCAAGGTAAAAGAAAATGCTCATGATGAAGTTGAGCGTGATTGATGGGAGAAGATGAGACCTGGCACAACTAAAACTAACAAAAGCTGCAGTACAGGACGATGAACACGCCCTTATTAACATGTCACCACAAATTCACGAAATTTACAACAAACCAGACATTAAGATGCATTTGTATGTTTGGAGCAACTCTTTTATTGAGTTGACAAGAGACAAGCGAATACATGCAAACAAAATAATCTTATAGTGCATTATATTGATATGCATACATTTTGAAGAACTATTATATGATATATTTCTTTGTCATTTAATTTAAAGTAAGATTGAGTGTAGGGACAGATGACTGGAGGTAGGGGGAACCGTGTCCTCGCATTGTGTAGGCAGACTTCTGTCAATAATGCTGAGGTCCTGTGAACATAATAATTAACAAATGTAAAGACAGCTTCTTAGACTGCATTCAAATTAAATGAGTTAATATAACACTTATTACCATTTTTTATACAAGTTTAGTCATCATCGTCATCGTCCTCTGGGACAAAGATCTCGTGCTCCTCCAACAGAGCGGCGAAGCTCTTGCTTATCAACGTTCCCACATAAAGGAAAGGCACCACCACCACTGTCATGCGAATGAGACCAAAGGGTGTCTGAAAACAAAAGATTATTATGGTTACATGTTATTTCATGTTGGAACGCTCAACAAATTCAAAACATGAGACAAAATAATTGACCCATAAAGAAATGCAGCTTGAAATACATGTTTAGCAGCCCACTGATCGCTCATTCTCTGACATTACAGTCTTGGTTAAAATTAGCCTAGAACTGGAATCAATACAACCTGCAGACTGCTTTGAGGCTCATATGTTTCTCAAATAAAGTAAGATCTCAATTTGGTATGAGGATGTGTGTTTATTGGATTTCTTTATGCAAAACACTAACGTATAACTACACAAATGTACAGAGGACTTCCTGAAAACTCCCTTACTGTAAACACACATTGTTCATTGGTAGATATTCACTCGCTGCAGCATTTTGTCTTTCTATTGGACAATCCAGGCGTCAGGCAATCTCGCCCTGTATGTTTGCCTTTGGGGTAGAATTGAAAGAACCACTTACTTTGTCGGGTTTGGGCAGGATCCCACCAGATGATGTTGACACTATAGTTCTGCTTTGAGCGGCCCCCGTCATGTTGGAGGTCTTCACACCGTTCCGGGCCAGCGTGCTGGGGTTGTTGTTGAGAGCCCTCAGCAGTGGGAGCCGCAGTATCCTCGACGCCATTTTTTCTTGACACTAGAGAAGTGTGGGTGGGATTTTCGATATATGGGCGGACTCTTTCATACAGCGTCGATGATATGTATATATGTATTATAAAATCATATTTGTCTTCAGTCTGTGGTGTTGATTTGACTTGTGTGTATGTGTGTTTTTAATAGTAGACGTTTGGGGGGTCACCTTAGACTGTAAAAATTGGGGTGACTCTCCTACAGTCTATGGTGTTGATTTGACTTGTGTGTGTTTGTGTTTTTTGTTTTGTTTTTGTTTTTTTATAGTAGACGCAGTGTTCGGGAAATAGACAGTTTGGGGGGTCACACAGTGTTTAATTGGTTTATTCTTTGTCATGTATGATCAAACCATTAATCAGATTCACACATATTTTAGTAGCGAACACGTCGATTACTTTGTTCAATGATAAACACGTTTGGCCATCAGCGATTGAAATATGATTTCCGAAAGTTAGAAAAAAGTTACTAAAAAGTGATGGGAAATATGAATACAATTTTAATTAGAAAAAATAAAAATATTCATTCTAAAATACAAATTGACATTTTTCGTTTTAAGAAAATAGATTATAGTTGAAGAATTGTTGCAGTCATAGTTTTGCTCAATAAATACGATACAGAATGTTCCTGAAATTACGACATCAGATAGCGATATGTCATTTACTGTGAAAGTGGGAAACATGTGCGTTGGCTCTGTATATTTTATAACTTGATGATTCACTTGCTAAGAACCATAAAAATGCTCTAAATATATGTTTTCTACCCTTACCTGTAGAGTAAAGTCTGCTGTCCGCGGACTGGTCACGGGGGCGCGCTTAGAGCAGTGGCGCGCGCGGGCTGAGAGGAAGTAGAAGGCGGAAGAGAGAAGAAGACACGACAAATTGAACTTTACGCTAACATGCTACAAATAACTTAAATACCATTGTGGCGGGATCTTATTCACTCACGGTTCCAGTTGTGCTAAACAAATGCGCTTTGAATTTAGGTGAAGGATTTGCAAAGTACGAGCTGGGGACAGTTTTGAACAGACTTGACTTGATTAGCCACAAGTGACATTAGCTAAGTTTAGCCTCACGAGCCGCCACTAAACACCGCTGCTTTCGGAGTAACTATTAGCAAAACGCCAGCGGTCATAGGTGCTTGTGGATATTGCTAAAGACTGCGGCGGTGGAAGACGTGCAGAGACTACATGTGGACACTGCTGAGAAGAGGAGAGGCTAACGCTATAAGGAAACATGTCGGCCCATGCTCAGATGCGAGCCATGCTGGACCAGCTCATGGGGACCGGGAGAGACGGTATGAAGTCACGCCATGGTTTGATCCCCACATACTGAATGTAGAGCAGTGTAGTTGGTCCAGAATGGCAAACATCACAATCACTGTAGCATTCACGTCATCATTCAACTAACTTGTGGTAAATGGTGGAGTCGGATGGTTAATCTGAAACAAAGATTACAAAAAGTCTCCTTACCATAGCCACTTGTAAAGTTTAATTTTCATTAAGTGGGTTGAGCTTGTCCTGTATGTATTCTTGATTTAAATGTCTACGATTTGTTTTGACTGTGGATGTCATTTCATGGTTTGTTTTCAAAGGTGACACAATGCGGCAGAGAATAAAATTCACAGATGATCGAGTCTGCAAAAGCCACCTCTTAGACTCCTGTCCACATGATATCCTGTCAGGAACTGTGAGTTTCATTTTGCATGTTGTATGTATATGTTACGAGAGATAATTATGTTAAATGCTTGTAATGAGTAAATGTGCCTTTTTCTTTAGAGAATGGATCTGGGAGAGTGCATGAAAGTTCACGACCTGGCACTTAGAGCAGATTATGAAATTGCTGCTAAGAAGGAGGAATACTTTTTTGAGCTGGATGTAAGTTAACTTCACACTTATTTCTAAAGAAGCAGCTTTCTGTATTTTTGGCCATGTTGCGTTTGCATACTCTAATACTATAACTTTTTGCATCCAGGCTGCAGAGCATCTTCAGTCTTTTATTAATGACTGTGACCGGAGGACAGAAATGGCCAAGAAAAGGCTCGTTGAGACACAGGATGAAATCAGTGCCGAGGTTGCTGCAAAGGTGATGAGTGCTTTTCAATTGTACTGTTGTGTATGTGCTTTGTTTTTCCAATCTACAAAAACTGCATTTTTCTCCTGATAAGGCTGAACGTGTCCATGAGCTCAATGAAGAGATTGGAAAGCTCTTGGCTCGGGCCGAACAGTTGGGAGGAGAAGGAAATGTAGACGAGGCCCAACAGCTGTTGGAAAAAGTGGAGAAAACTAGGATCTCAAAGAAAGAGGCAGAGGTTAGTTTTTTCTTTCAATCCTTTTCAAACCATGAATTTACATGTATTTTATAGCTGGTATAATGCTTTATTGTGTATGCAATGTATGGATTTGAAATATTCATTCATTCAATTCTGAAAAGCAAATACTTTTAGTTTTATAATATGTGTTTGTATATTTATGTATGCAGGATGTCTACAGAAACTCAATGCCCGCCTCCAGCTTTCAACAACAAAAGCTTAGAGTTTGTGAAGTGTGTTCTGCCTACCTGGGTCTTCATGACAATGATCGTCGCTTAGCAGACCACTTTGGTGGCAAATTGCATTTGGGTTTTATCGAAATACGCGAGAAGCTGGAAAAGTTGAGGGTAACACAATTATCTGCATGTTAAAGTTTATTCAGTATTTTTTTTAAATGTTCAATGAATCTTTTTATTGTGCACTACTTGATTTAGAAAGCGGTTACTGAAAAGCAAGAAAAGCTGCGAGTGAAAAGACGTGAGGACAGAGAAAAAGAAGAACGAGAACGTCAGTGGGAGATGGAGCGTGAACGTGAGAATGAATGGGAGCGGGCGCGAGAGAGAGAACGAGAGCGGGAGCGACGGAGGTACAGCACTGCCCACAAAACTGCATTTCCACATGTTTTTACCTGTAACATGCCATCATTTGCTTCCTTTCAGATCAAGATCTAGAAGCGGAGATCGGTACAGGTAAGCTGGGTATTGACTAGGGGTGTGATACTTTCTTCCGCGATTCGATTATCGATATGCATTTGCCAAGTAACGATATCAATTTTTTTTTTTTACATTTAAAAAAAATAATTGGTATCAATGCTTAATATATGGCTACATTACGCATCTCCATTTCATTTATGAAATAAAGTGTATTTTTTCTTTTATTTATGCCATAAATTGACATATTGTATATTTCTGACCAATATATCGATAATCGTTCTCGTGATATCGTTATCGTGAGCTTTGTATCGTATCGTATCGTGAGGTACCCTTAGGTTCCCACCCCTAGTATTGACCCCATGTGCAAGTTCAAGATGTTGTATGTGCTGCCTTTGTGCTTTCTGTCATAGCACAGCAGTATCTATTTGATTTTAATATACAGACGATACACCACCCCCCAGAATTTAATTAAGGTGACTCTTCTTTATGTGCCCATAGAGATGGAAGCAGTTCATCTTCCCATCATTCTCGACGCCACCGCTCATCCCGTTCTAGGGAAAAAGGTGGAGATCGGGACAGAGAACGAAGACATCGACACAAGGATAGACACCGCTCACATTCACACTCTCATAAGCACAAGAGAAAGAGGTAACCAGCCAATGAAGCAATGAAATGTAATTATTGTTGCATGCATTTGTCATAACTTATTAGAAATGCTGTTTTCATTATGGCTGATATTTGTTCAAATTCAAGTTTTAGGTTCTAGATCAGTTGATCAATGCATTGTTTTTAATATTTAACCTGGAAGTTCCTTTAGATGGTTTTTAATTATTAAGTCAAACAAATAGAGGATCAGAAGGTTGCGATTTGGTGGAATTTAACTTGGCCAAATGTTTTTACTGCTACTGTCCCTGACTGATATTGTGGGCCTTCTCGCCTGCGCCTGCTTTTTCAGCTTAACCCACAAATGTTCAATGGAATTGCGATACCAGATCCTACTCCTGGACCATTAGTTACAAATATCCTCATAATTCTTTTTGTGCTTAAGGCTGTTTACCAATGGAGTACTGCTTTTAAGTATTTGTATTAATTGCTCAGCTGTTGTCAGTTCATAAACTGGTTTATTTTTGCTTTTGGCAGATCTTCAAGAGACCGCTCATCTCATACAAGAGAAATGGAGCGCTCTATGTCCCAAGAGAAGAACAAAGAAGTAGCAACAGAAAATGCAGAGTGGAACAGCAGAGCGCCGTCTACTTCTCCGCACATGGCTCATATGCAGGATAGAGAAAGATCTGTGTCTAATGAGCGGGAAAGGCGATCCAGTTCTGAAGAGCGAGAATCTGGGGAAATATAACATGCTGCTTCCATTGGTTTGATCTTGACTTTTTTGTTTTGTTTAGTAAAATAAGGGGCATGAAGGGGGACACTTTGTTGCGATACCGTCTGCATATGTATGTACAAAAAGTGGTTGTTGATAAAACCGCATAAACTTAGCAAAAATTAAATAAGCAAAAACTTGAAATTATTCAATTTAAACAGAAATGTGTGTGTGTTCTCTTTTGAACTTTATTTGTGTATCTGAATAATACCCTGTGAGGAAGGTGATTACTGGATATTATTTTGATTTTATATTTGCCTTTCCTTATTGATATTTCTTTTTACCTTGTTAGTTTTCCATGTGGTATGAGCCATTGTGTACAATGAGCTTGTGTTCATAAAGCTCCCTAAATTTGTGACATCTCTATGCATATTTTGGTATGATGTATCATCCAGATATATAAAATACTGTGCTTTACTGTGTATGTTGATGTATTGGGGAAACTGACATCAAGTAAATCTTTTCTGCCTCTTACTGCTGAGTCATGTCCTTTACTGTTATTCTGTGGCTATGCACTGAATATAACCATCCACCAGGAGGCGTAGATTTCAAACTGCGTCATGACGTCAGAGTCTGCGTCAGACGTATATTTGGAAAAGAAGCGCCAGCCTCCGTCTGGTGTTGACGTTCAATGGTCTGGCTCTGAACGATGGCCCTGCTAAAACCCTTTAGTAAGCTTCCAAGCTTACATGCGTCCAGTATTTTGGTAAGTGCATTTTCTATTAGTGGAGCTGTTTCCAATAGCTTAGCTTGTACACAAGTGTGTGTTTCGATCAATGGTCGTGTTCTGTTGGTGATACGGCTTCTTGGAGCTATTCCTATGTTCGAATGCTCAGTTAATGCTTCACGTGTTTTTTTTCTTGTCCAGCTGGTTGAGAATGAGGAGCTTTTTCAACAAAGTCTGGCCAACGCTCTGGTTGCGGAGGCCGGTGTCACTGTTAATGTGTAAGTTCTTCCCTTTGGCTAAAGTAAACACTTGTTTGGATGTGCATGCTTTTGTTTATTTCTTCACTTCAACCTACTTTAACTGTTGTTTACAGTTGGGAAATAAAAGAAATGGTGATGACTCTGCACAGCTTTTGCTGATGATGAAGGGTAGTGACCCGAAACGTCATATTTTGTGGTGATTATTAAAATCTGGGAGCAAAAGCTGTGCAGAGTCATCGCCATTTCTTTCATTTATCTTTTCGACTTTTTTGCACGCTGCTCAGAATTGGATTTGCGCGTCAATCTCACTTTTGCTACAGTTGGGTAATACAAACGTTTGAACAGTACACAATCATTACTCTGTCTCTTGTGTGTCCAGGAGACTTGCAAAAAATCTTCCTCTCCCTTTGGAAAATGAGGATAAGCGTCCAAGGATAGATCTGGTTGTGTTCGTCATGAACCTGACCTCAGAACTGAGGTAGGTCAAAATATAATGATCAAATTGTACAAACAAGTACACACCCATAATCATGATTTGTTTTTACTACAAGTATTATTTTGGAACCCTGTTGAGGGTTTTGTTTCATTCTAAATTCCATTTATACTTTCAGTTTTCAGTCTACAGAGGCCTCACTGAAATATTTGGACCCAGGATTTTTTCTTGGCAAAGTTTGCTTTATGGTGACAAATGGTATAGTTTTTCATTTTAACCTGAAATAATAAAGCACAGTTTTGATATGATGTTCTATGTTCACAGCTCGTAATGCTACAGTCCCTTCTGGGCGCCTGGATTCTGTGCGAAAACTTGCTGCATCTCTCCAGTGTCCATTACTGTTTGCTGAAGATCAGGTTTGTTTGAGAAGTTTTAATAGTGTTCTAATGGCCTTTACAAAATGTCAGAGATGATGTCCCACATAATAATGTTCACATGAATAGACAAGATAATGCCATAGATGTTTTTGCAGAGCCCAGATGGTGTGGCCAATGCTGCGGAGAGGCTGCTGACCATCTTAAAGGTGTCGGCTGGCTTTGTTCCTACAATAACTGCCCTCTACCTGTCCAACCTGACGCGCTGCACTGTGCCGCCTGACATCGATCAGCTGAGCTTTGAGTAAAACCTCTGTCTTCTGTGAGTGGTGAAGTTGTTCCACACCTGAGCACAATTCTCAAGGGATGGGTTAACTGTTTGGAAGGCCCATCGACTGAAGACGGTGATTAGAGATTCTTTTGCTTTTTAAAGACACTGGCAACACATTGTTTAGTTGTAATTAAAAAGTTTAAAAGTAAGGTGCCAATGCTCTTACTGGTTTGAAACTTTTTTTCTGCAAATTAATACATTTGCTAATTAAATCAATTTTTGTTTTTATTGGACTAACATTTTTTGGTGAACATTCATTATGAACTTATGAACTTTTGAACCTTATGTGGAGAGTGACTAGGTGTATGCACTAGATGCTGTGCATGCAGTCACGTACACTCTGACAATGGAATGTCTCAATGGCAAGTCTTAATTGAGACAAGTAGTACATTGGGTCTAGAGAGGGCGCAAAAGGTGATTAGATAAAGTCTGAACATACTTTTTTTGCATAATCAGTTGCTAGGGGCCACATGCAGTCAACTTCTCCCCCATTCATCTTACTGCTGACAACAATGACATCAGTGCAACCCCAAGATGGAGAAAAAGGGCTCAATTATTGCCGAAAACTTATCCGGACGAGAGTCTCACAGTTTAAAGTGGGCTAAGTGGAGTGAGAGTTGGACCAGTGCTGACAGATCCAGAGGAGGCGTCTACATTCAGGTGTTCGTCACATAATAATAGTGCCTTATGCTAGACCAGTCCAGGCCAGTTTATTTATAAAGAACTAATAAAAACAAGGTTGTACCTAAAAAGACATACACAAATATGCAATTACAAAATACAGAACATTGGCAAAAACACACTATTTACCGCAAAAAAATCAATTCGAAGCCAATAAGAACAAGTGAGTCTTAAAGGAACAATATGTAAAAATCTTGCCAAAAGTGGTACTGCAGTCAGTCAATATTTTGTAGTCCTCTCCCACTCTCCCTGACTCAGGTTGCCAGATACACACCAAATCCAGCAGCAAACACAGGGAATTATTTTATCAGTTGTTTGTCTGTCTCCAGTCACATTGCCATGAGGCATGCTAAGGTTGAATGAATGTTGAATTATGTTTTATTTTTTTATTTGGACATTTGAGATAAAAATTAATGTAATTATAGATTATCCAAAATAAATAAGCAATTGATGTCCAAAATAGGAGTGGGAAGAATGGATGTTGGAACGTATTTCTTCAGTGTATCAACATCAGGGTTTGCTCCAGAGGATATCACCTTTCAATTCCCTATTTTTTTTAGACAAACATGTTCAATTCCCTATTTTTTTAGACAAACATGTATAAGTCCCTCATCAAAAAGAGACTAACATTATTTTAATTGGGGTACATGTGGTCTCAAATGATTCTTTTTACAAATAAGCTATAATCTGCAAAAAACGTCTTGACCTTCGTCTTTTACTGTATTTAGAGCAATCTGTCATAGAATGTGATAACATGCAATTAAATACAAAAAGGCTCTCTCCGGAATTGAACCCGGGTGACTGCATCGTGAGCTCAAACCGTTATTATAATAGATCCGTGGCTCAAACCAGCAAATTTTGCATCACACGTAAACTTTTATCAGCTGTCTCAATTGTTCAAAGGCGTCCCGATATAAATCCTCATTTTAGTCTTTGTTTGGTCATTAATTATTTGAGAGTCATAACAAGACCTTTTTTAGTTCTGCGCCACATGTTATTTTACCTCTGAGATTAGTGAGCCGCACGGAGTTCTGGCAACCCGATCACGGACTTACATGACACTTCCTGATTGGCGAAACGGCGGAGGGTAGGACATCAAAATCAAAACAATAACAACTTTTACGGGTCGTAAAACTAATATTGATATTCAAATATCTCTGCTGAACTACTGTTATCAGTTAAAGTTGTATTCGAAAAGAGCATGATTTAATAACACCTTTTGAAATATGGGGGCCATTTAATGATGACTTGACATGCAAATACATTCTGCTACTTTAAGACTTAAAGGACAACTCACCCTCAAATCCACTTTTTTGCACTGATAAATGGTATAAATGAGTGTCCAATATAGGGATGTAGAAAACTATGAATTTTCATGACCGACCACCGAGCCTCATTAACCGGTTGAAACCGGTTAACCGCGTAGTTTAAAATAGTCCACGTTCTTTGAAATAACAGCCATTTCGAGCTGCGTACTTTTCATATGTGCAGCTGAGCATTCTAATGGATCAGAGCGGAGACAGCGGCACCAAAACCCGCAACAGCTTGGGCACCTTTGCGCACAGAGAACTGCTGTTTTAATCTTCCCATTATTCTGTGCTGCGGCTTAAAGCATTTTTAAGCAAAAGACAGCTCGTCCACATGGTCAGGGGGGGGGGGCAGCAGCCCCCCGCCCAGAGCAATGTAAACGGCCCAGTCTCGTTCACGCCCCCTTCAGTCCTCCAGGCTACGCCCATTTAGAGGAAGATTTGAACAGGAAATGTGTGTGACGTAAGCTCCGAGGAGCGGGGGTGAGAACCACTTTAAAAACAGGAAGTGAATCAGTCTCACACAGGGGCAGCTCATTCCATAATTTAGGACCAACAACCGAAAAAGCTCTGTCTCCTGAGTTCCCATTTAGTCGTAGGAACCCAGAGCAGAGCCTGATCTGCCGACCTGAGCGATCGTGATGGAGTGTTTGACGTCAGTAGGTCAGACAGATAGCGCAGAGCAAGGCCATTCAGGCATTTATAGACAAAATGAGTTTAAAATCAATCCGGTAGCGAACAGGAAGCCAATGAAGGGATGACAGGACCGGAAAGATATGCTCATACGTCCGAGTTCCTGTTAACAGACGCGCTGCAGCTTTCTGTACCAGCTGCAGTCGAGCAAGCGATGACTGGCTGATGTACAAGGCGTTACACTAGTCCAGCCGAGTCGTAACAAAAGCATGAATAAAAATTTCAACATTTTGCCTTGAAAGGGAGGACTTTATTTTAGCAAGTTGCCTTGAATGGAAGAAACTGGACTTCACTTCTGCACTTATTTATCAAATTTACAATCAGCATCCATTTTGATCCAAGGTTTGAAACTATGGGCTTAACAAATTGTTTTAGAGGTCCCAGGTTCACGGAGCTACTGCTGCCATTGCTGGGCCCGACCAGCAGAACTTCTTTAAAAAAAATGTTTTTATTGAAATGTACAAAGTTTGCTGCCATCCACATTTTGATTTTAGATTTGCAGCACCCAACTTCTGGAGTGCATAAGTTATTGTTACGCTTAAGGGGCACATAGACATAGACATGGCTGTTATCTGCATACAGGTGGAATGACACTCCAAACGTCTGAAGGATAGCTCCTAATGGCAACAGATACCATGAAAACGGGAATGGCCCAAGTATAGACCCTTGCGGCACCCCACACAACAGGGGGGCTGTGGAGGAAACAAAGTCACCAACTCTCACACAGAAACTCCTATCTCTCAGATAAGATCAGAACCATTCCCATAGCCCTGAATGCCGACTGAGTGTTGAAGGCGACACAGGAGGGTTTCATGATCCACTGTGTGCAATGCAGCGGTCAGGTCCAGCAGCACCAACGCTACAGTGTGGCCAGAGTCAGTGGACATGATATTGTTATAAACTCGTAACTATGCTGACTCTGTACTGTGGAGGTTCTTGAAACCAGATGAAACACTTTAGGAATCTCATTTTCATCCAGAAATGACTTCAGCTGTGCAAAGATGATTTTGGACACAAGCTGAAGTTTTGATATTAGACGAAGGTTTGAAGGATCATTAGAATCAAGGCACCACCCCCTTATTCAGGTTAATCTGGCATTATGCTAGTCTTGTGCACTTCACTTGAAACTTCAAATTATCAAACAAATGACAAATCATTCAATTAACAAACTCAACACATTCATTACAAAGTGAATGTGGGACATTCCTCAGTTGATCAAAAAAATTCACATCACCAACAGATGAAAGGGCTGGGCATATTGCTTGGGAGCCATCAGTAGCTCACTGCCCACTTCAGTAGCTCCCCAAAGGATTCAGGAATTTAACCCATGATGGAAAATGATGTTTTGAACAATTTCCTTTCTATTTTCACTATAAATAGTTACATTATGTGCGCAAATGCAGGGCTATTCTGTTTGTATATTTTTCATACTGGGATATGATCTGGGAGTTTCCAGGGGTGGCTTGTCCTGCTCTTCCCTAGTCCTTCTGCTGAATGATTTGTCTCTGTGTGTAGAGTGGACTGTCCACAGTGAGTGGTTTCCCCTGGACCTGTGTTTGTGTGTTTGTAAGTTTGTTTTTGAAATGTTTAAAATAAACTAAAGTGGAAATAATTCTGTTTCCGTCATTTTCCTTTATTTTTCAACATGAGTAGATTGGGTCCAAAAATGACATATATTAAACAAAAACATGATGCTTATGGATAACTTTTATTGAGAACAAATAACTCCTTGCATGGTTTTGGATGTGTTACATTTTGTGGGGAAATTGTAGATTAGCAGTGTTTCCCAACTGTAGTGAGCCGTAGTGCATCTTTGTAATTGAAAATAAATCATTTGGTACAGATGAAACTCTTTAGCCTTTATTAACAATGCATCATTCCCATCAAAGTGTATTGAATAATCATAGAGAAAAAGTAGTTTTCTTCTTTAGCAAAAAAAAAGAAAGGTTTTTTTTGACTAATGAGGTGATATTGGATCATTTCCAAAGGCACAACGGACATCTCACACCACACTAACGTGCCACGGCACACTGGTTGAAAAACATTGGATTAACCCAAAGAGTACATTGAGCAGATTAAATGTATTAATTCTTATTTCATAATCAATATTTATTATGGTATTCCTTTCACCCAGCTAATCCCAAGTCTTTGTAGTGTGCTTCAATGTCAGCGATGATAGCAGCCATGACGTTCCTGAAAGCCTGTTGTCCAGCAGTATCCAGAGCCACCTTTTCCTCCATCACCTTCACAATGATCTCTGTGATCAGCTGTAAACACGCCACACTTAATATATTGATAACAGCCAATAGCTAATTAATAACTTGTTTGGTCAAATGTCTCACATATAGAATAATGAGAGCGTTACCTTAAAGTTGTGGAGGGAGATCTTGTGCTGATTGGCATGTGTCGTGGCCAGAGGTTTGAGGATGGCCGCATGGTTTCCTCTGACCTTGAGCAACTCACCCAGTTTCTTCAAGACCGTAGCCCCATGAGCAGCGATGGCAGAGTTACTGCTCAAATCTGTCAGAGGAATATCCACAAATTTGGGAAAGAGCTTCTGGGTCTCTGGGTGCTCTGTAAAAAGACTGTTCACAAAACACAAATGTAGCTAAGTTTTTTTGCAAGCAACATTATTATCATTATCAAAATTAATTTCCAACTGACCGGGTAAGCACCAGGCTTCCCATGCCAGTGTAGTCTGCCTCTACTGGGCCCCAGAACTTCAATATGCTGTCAAAGTCAGCCATGACCTTCATAAAGGAAATCAAATGTTTTTTATTAATCTGGAGTATACCAGACTTTTTTTGTCCAGACAAAAAGAGAGAGACCAACTAACACCACAGTGGGTGTCTTTATCTATTAGTAAACATTTAATCTTCAGCATACTTGTAAAAGAGGTTCGGGCTGAGCAAGAGTGGTCCTCTCTTTTTCACTGTTCTGTCAGAAAAAGCTGATCTGAAGAAATGAGTACCCACCTGTAATGTCCACAAGTTTAGGGATGAAAATGATTGATAAATAGTTAAAAAGAAAATGACAAATAAATAGTTTAATAGAAAATTACTTCTACATGCTATGTAATTTCTATTAACTGTTTTTCTGTATTGTACTTTGATGGTAATTTTGTTTAAACTTAAAAACAGAAACAGAAATGTACCTACCAGTTGTGTAAATCCTGTGTGATGTCCCCAAATGTCTCCTGACCCGATTTCACCCCTCTCACCTTTTATACTTATACCCCTGCCCTTGTCCCAAAATCTCTGCGTTCGCCCATTGGTCTCCTCTGTGCAGTCTTTTTAAGGTGTCCACAACACCTCCCAGTCTAATCGCCACACTTGATTGCAAAAATATTTGTTTGTGATAACAACCAACAGCCTTCTCATACAGAGCCTACCTATTTATATTTAGGTGTGTGAAATTAATCGTTGAATAAATCATCCAGTCACTCAAGTGACTGAATGGGGGATGAGCTTCATATGATTCTTTCATAAAACTGGCTAAATTAAGATCATTTACCACTGAGCATCCTCCAATATGTACAGTATAGTGCTTCCCAAACTGGGGTCTGGAGTTCCTCCAAGGCACTACAAATCTAAATATTTGTTAGTGATTATTACTATCAATCAAAGCGTCAAATAGTGACTCATAGGAGTCTTTATTACATTTCTTCTAATCAGAAGCAAACATGTTGTGATCTGATTTGTTCACAACATTTTACTTTGACAAGACTTTCAGTTGGGAACAATGGAGATTATTGATGAAAAAGGGTTGGGTCCCCCAGCTTTAAATTCTTCTTCCAATGGGTGAAAATAATGTACCATTCTTCAATGCAATAGAATAGATATTATAATAGATCCATGAATATAACAGAATAGATGTATACCGGTACCGGCCGGTAACCCAGCCATACAGACAAACTTCTAATCCGCCTTCCTTTAAGCTGATTGGCTCATTGTCTGTATACGTAACTGATCTGACGTTACCCGGAAACGGTGGCGTTAACTCATGCTTGTGTTGTAACTATTTACAGTCTATGGTTATAACATTGGAATAAATATAAACGGTAAATATGCAGGCTGCCAGACACCTGACGACAAGCACAGTGAAACATGCAGGTATTTGTGCAAGCGCTGCGTTATAAGTGATTGAAAACGAAAGTGATAACAGATGAAATGTTGTGTGTCCAGTGACCGAGCTGAGAGTGCCTGTTCCCTGGGGGGAGATCCGAGGGAAGGTCTGGGGTCCGGAACACGGCCGCCCTGTGCTGTGTTTACACGGCTGGGCTGACAACTGCGGGACCTTCAATAAGCTGATTCCACTATTGCCTAAAGGTCTGAAAGTTTCCAAACCAACATAGTTAAAATTTCAGATTGAAGACAATAACCTACACGGATTATGACAACATTCAAACTTCTCACAAATAACACATGTAGTTTGTCGGAAAGAGTCTTGATAAAGTAAAATGTTGTGTGCAAATCAGACCAGAACATGCTGTCTTCATCTAATTTGAAAGCATTTGCATTCTTACCTTTTTTGAAGAACCCTATGAGTCACTTTTTAACGTTTTGGGCTGAAAGCTAAATATGGACATCCGTTTTTCAAATGTTCTGCCTGTAAAGCAGTTATAAACATGTGACAGAGGCCAAAAAACAATGATCAGGTCCAAGACACAAATGGGAAAGTATTGCACTCTCAAAATACAGATATTACATTAGATTCAAATTAACTTTTTTATTTTTGTTCCTTTGGACCACAGTGGGTTGTGGATCATTTGAATAGGAGGTCAATGGTCCAGCTTCATTAGGTGCCGTTTTGTAAAGCAATACTGTGGTTTCCAAAGTGCCTAATAGTGCAAATTATGTAATATTATGTCTCTGCAGGAACTTACTTTGTCAAAGCCATGGGGAAGTGTCTAAAATTTGATTTCATAAATGTGCTGGTCAATACAAAGGTGTGTAAGTTTCTTAAATTGCTTCACTGCAAAATGCACTTTTTTCTTTCCAGAGCATCGCTATGTAGCAGTGGATCTGGCAGGCCACGGTTTCTCCTCACATCGTCCTCCTGGTGTTTTCTACTCCTTTCCTTCATATGTTGCGGATGTTTGCAGAGTTATCAATGGTGTTATAATTTTGTTGTTTTATGAAAAAAAATTATATTGTAATTGAATTTTAGGGACAGCCCGATTGATCAGCTTTCAGGAAACTATCTTAGGATACATTTCTAATTGACCAAGATTTCACTGATTTTTACAGATTGAATTTTAAATGTGATTGCCTCTACTCAGCCACCAACTCATTCAGTCAAACATGATCTGTGCCAATACAATATGTTTAACCTCATTTTAAAGCATTGAATCTACAGAATTGACTTTGTATTACAATCCTGGCATCTATTATTGAAAATGTGCAAACACCAGCTCAAGTTCACAGCACACTTCAGCTCTGCTAATATACACATGCCATATATCATTTTACTGCTTAGAACCTCTAGAATTCAGTAACAAGCAATCAAATGCAAGCCCACAACAGTTGGTACACCCATTATCCAAAAAATATGAATGATAAATTGGTAATCAAGAAATCGTGTCAGTTCAAAAATCGGTCAGTCCCTATTGATTACTCAGCTCTATTGCATCATTCTATTTGCAATATCAATGTAGTCAAAATCGTCTTTGTGGTGAGCGATCCTCTTGCCAGGTTAGTGATCTGTGAAATGGCTCCTTTCAGCTCTCCAGTGGGACCGATTCTCCATCATAGGACACAGTATGGGTGAGTGGAGATTGAGCGAGACATTAAAATGGCCTTCTTACAATATGCTCATGATGACCTTGTATCTTCTTAGGCGGTAATGTTGCAGGAATGGTAAGTTACTTTGTGGGTGTATATGTTTTCCGTTTCTCTCAAAAGAGATCTGAACCATTAACTTTTTCCAACAGTACAGTGCTCTGTATCCTGAAATGGTGGACGCTGTTGTCCTGCTGGATTCTTACGGGTTCCTGCCCACAGATATGGTACATACATTCATATTCTGTGCTTTGGAAAATAGACTTGAATTCTCCACTGTGCCTCATTCGATACGTCTACGTCAAGGGTAAAACTTTGTAATGCACTGCCCATTGTGATTTCATCCTTATATTAGAATGTGCCTCACACCGATTTGGGTTGCTTTTTGATAATATAAAACATTGACAGTTTAGTTTTACAGTATTTTCTGCATCATTGTGTACACCCCAATTAATTATTTCAAACTTGTACACCAAAAGTGCGCTAATAATGCTGTTTATTTCTGAAACAGGATGCCAAAATAAACAGCACTATACAGTTTGAAAAGGCACCTATTTGTTGTGTGTGTGTTGTGTGTGTGTGTGTGCGTGTATGTGTGTGTGTGTGTGTGCGTGTGTATGAATGAGAAGAGCCTTTGAGTGTTCGCATAGAGATATTTAAAGCGGATGTGTCACTGTGCATGCCTGTAGTCAAGCAGTTTTCTTTATTAGCTTTACATGTGTGTCTCCTTTTTGACAGAAAGAAATTGCTAAAGTAATGAAACAAGGAATTGATGGGCTCCTTCAGTTTGAAAAGAAGTCTGAAGAGAAGAAAGATAAAATATATACATATGAAGAAGCCGTAAAGAGGTATCAATCTCAAGTTTCAGGTTTATATGATGTAGTGTCAACTGATTTCAATGTGTTGAAGATTATTGGAAGCCAACCCCGCTCTGTCGAAAGTTTCAGCACAGATACTTTTGGAAAGAGGTTTAGTTCAGACCAATGGAGGTGCGTTTTAAATAAATGATTTTGTTTAGATAATTATTTCCATCTTAATTATTTGTTATCTGAAATTGTTTTTATCTGCAGGGGTTACGTTCTCTCGAGACTTCCGCATAAATCTGGTAGGGTTGAGTCAATCCTGGTGCATACGTAATTGTTAATCCACGATGATCATTTGAGACCTCATTTTAAAAGTTTTTTTTTTTTTTTTAAATCAAATCTAAAACAAATGTCTTTCCTCATTAATGTTTGCTTACAGAAAAACATAGTCCGTATCAGCTTGGAGCAAAGCTTGGAGATGCAGTCGAGAATACAAGCCAGTGTTTTAGTTATTTTGTAAGAATGCTCACATCTAGTTCATGTTCCATGTAATAATTATATAGATGACGATCAAACTATCTCTCTTCAGGGCAGAAGATGGCTTTGAAAAACTCTTTGCTGAAGCAGACCAGAAGAAATTCACCTCACCCCTCCTTCAAGGATACAGAGACCTAAATGTGAGGGCACTTTGTTTTCATAAAGACGGTAATATGTTTATTGTTAGCTTATTGTGCGTTGTACTGACAGCAGAGCACATGCTGAAGTAGCAGTTATTGTTTATATGGAGACAGCCGCTGTGTCTTGCTGTAAACTTGAGCGGTGACCCACATTCTCATTTCCGGTCAGTGTCTCTGATCAAAGGCAGAATAGAAGATGAGTGAGGTTTTTTGCGCAGATGCAGTGAAAAGAACAAGGCATCGAAAACGCGTTTGAATTCCGACCACAATGCTTCTTTCTTCTGTCTTTCAGCACAAAGTGGTGAAGATCCCCGGTGATCATCACGTTCATCTCAACAACCCAGAGTGTGTGGCTCCATTAGTGACTGAGTTCTTACATTCCAAAGCGGCGGCGCTGAAAGAAACACCCAAACTATAGAATACATTTGTGAATTGTTAACTCTCACACTCCCTCTTCCTAATATTTATGTTTCATTACACCTGTGTTTTCCCTGTGATATTGGAGAAAGGATTATCATGTGGTTTCTCTTCTGAAAGTTGGAGCAAAATAACAAAACTATGTAATAAAATCCATAAAACGAGTTCCTTGCTCTCAAAACAATGTAGTCCTAACACTAGTTTTCACATGCTCTCTCGCAACTTCAGATCACTTGAGTCTTGAAAAAGTAAAATGTTCTGAACCAATCGCACCTCACTATGACGTCTTCATCATAATAAAAAACATCTTCCTCATACTAGTAAGAAAGATCCCTGTGAGTCACTGTTTGGCTCTTTAGGCTGAGAGCTGATTGTCTGAGTGAGCGTGGTCCTCTCTTTTTCACTTTTCTGTCTGAAAAATGTCATCTTAACATGTGACAATATCTAAAAATACATGCATGTGAGAACTAGTGATAGAACTGCACTGGAACTAGGATATGGATTGTAGTCTAAGTTAAGTTTTGTGATTTGAAAGTTATGTGCCCCAGCTTTAATAAATCATATTTGTGATCATTATGTTAGTAAGATCCACATCTGCTGTCAGATAAAGTGTCTAATAATGTATGGTGGCATGTTGGGCTTGTTACCTTTTGCGTAAAGATGGGTCTCCACAACGGTAGACACAAACATAGGATCTTCAAATAATAATAATTAACTATAATTATTATTAACTATTAAATAATAATAATTATTGTTAGTTAATAATTATTAACTAACAATTGATCAAATTAATAAGGCCTTTTTCTAAATCTAGAAAGCGGTTTTAGGAAGAAACCATAAACTTATGTGTTTTTAAAAAATACTCATAATTTAATAAACACATGTTTCATCTGTTTTGTATCCAGTCTGAGATTCTGTATCTCTATAGTCTGTTGACTCCCTGACTATTTTTGCCACATTTAAGCTGTTTGAAAATGCTTTGGGGAACAAATTATTGGACTCTTTTATGAGGCCTTTGTGTGTCCCTGGAGGTTTGACCTCTGACTACTCATTTACTTATGTGGGAACAGTCAGCACAGGAAAAAAACTCCCAAGTTAAAGATAAAGGAGAGTGTAACATTCCTCTAGTTCGATAAAGACTAGTTCTAATTAATCTCCCACGATATATTTGGTTGCAAATAAGAGGGATATATATATATATTTGATATTTCACATTTCCGGGAGTTACAAAAAAGAAAAAAGAAAATCTTAATTCTGAGGATTACGTTGGACATTTCTTTCATATTATTCTTGAAGGAACTTTCTCCTTTTGGTACAAAAAGGTCAGCGGTTCTGTTTGATGTAATCCAGTCTACGGGCAGATGAACGTTCACGGGGATTATTGTGGATAATATGTCATTCTACATTCATTGACAAACGCGCGAGACCCGAGACATGCCCGAGACCCTCTGCGGGACAAAGAAGGTTCAAACTCCGCTTTTTGACCCCGGAAGTTCATCTTCATCTGCGTGTTTTATTTTTTGTCCCATATCAAAGCTTTTCCATTTTCCCGAATGAACAATGTGCATACTGTAAAGCCGTGTTCAGGATAAACAATGGCGACCACAGGTGACGTACCTAACATGAAGCACATAGAAACTCAATATTTGACTTGAGCTTTGTATCTGTCTTTTTCAGAGCTTCGTGTCCAGGTCCCATGGGGCCAAATCAGAGGTCGCGTGTGGGGCCCCCGGCACGGCTACCCTGTGTTGTGTCTGCATGGATGGGCTGACAACTGCGGGTCTTTTAACACACTTATTCCACTGCTATCCAAAGGTCAATTATAACTATATTACTTTGGCAGCTCCGAGTGCTCTGACAAGTTACAAAAGTATTTGTACTTTAATCATAACTGTCAATTTTGAAGTAGCTCTGTATGTTGTGAGTTTTATGTTTGCAGATAAAATAAGGCAGAATTAATATCACGTTTTAAAAGGAAATAAACCCAAAATGCTGGACTGCAAAAATAAGTGATTTAATAAAAGCAATAAAAAAAGCTAAATTCAGAGGAAGAAAAAAAACTGAACAAAACAGAAGGCAGAGACTAAAACTAAGACATGTGGAAATGACAATGACGGAACAGGGAGTGAAGGAATAATAAAATAAACAAAATAAAACAGGAAATAAACATGGCAATGAAGCTCTCATTTGGCTGGTCTTTGTCTTGGTCTTTTAAAAATAAATATATATTACGCAATTCCCAAAAAAAACATAGAACCACACCTGTGTTTAAAAGAAAGCAGATGCAAAAATAACTCGTCAGGAAGATAATGGCAACAAACGTTTGATTGTAATTTAAATGACTTTATTAGACCAAGAGAGGGCATATTGCATACTGTCCCTTTAAGTGCGTATTTGCTGTGTTCAGTTATTTTGTGAGAAAACTAAGTATTAGAAAAATTTGAAACAAAACTTAGACAATATGAGACAAGAAATAGCAAGTAAAATGAACATTGTTTTACCATAATGCACAATTATACTGAAGTTTGGTGGATCCCAGACTGTTCCTCACACAGTTTGTTGTTGTGCTGTGAAGAGTTTAGATATGTAGCTGTGGACCTGGCAGGCCATGGGCTCTCATCGCACCATCCTCCTGGAGTCTTCTACACCTTGCTTTCATATGTGGCAGATGTCTACAGGGTTATCGACTGTGAGTTTTAGTATTTTTCAATTTGTCGCATACGTTGAAATCCTGAATATACGGCTGATGGTCTGTGAAATCGACTTTTCAGATCTTCAAGTGACAAAATTGTCTATCATTGGGCACAGTATGGGTGAGTAAAAGCACATAGCAGTGACATATTTCATTATCTTTTGCTTGATGTTCATGCATTTCATTTGGTTTTCTCTCGTAGGTGGTCACATTGCTGGAATGGTGAAGAGCAGTTTTTATTTCCCCAGAAAAATAATGGATTTTACAGTTTGAAATTGAATAACAATCTCCATGTTGATCTATCCGCAGGTCAGTGCCCTATTCCCGGAGATAGTGGAGGCTCTTGTCCTTCTGGATGCTACACAGTTTGTAGTTACAGATTTGGTAATGATTAAACTCCTGCATTTATTCTTTAGATGAGATGCAAGATGCGTAACAATGTTGAATGCATCAAAAGTTTGTGATGTTGGGAAGAATTACATTAAATTGACTTTCAGGATCAATAAGTTAAGAGCACCACCAATTGCTCAGCTGTGATTATACATTTCAGATATCAGGCAAAAAATACAGATTAACAAATGTTTTCAGGAATTTGTAAAATGGGTTCCAGATCAAGCGGTGTAAAAGAAGAACAATGTGGGGGTTTGCAAAGGATGGAATGATTTTTTTAATTTCAAAATCTGATCATACCAAGTGTATTCAAGTCATTCCACTTCATTGGATTATTAATTAATCAATAAACGTAATACAGTATATGGACTCAAAACACCAACTATTTCAATTTACTAGTAACATTTCCAAGTAACAGCAGACAAACTTGAAACAAAGTTGATAATAAAATGTATGTTCTTTTGTTGATAAGGTTTCCACATGTTTTTCCAATTGGATCTACAGGAAGACAAGAGTGCATGTGAACCTCTGATTTATATTTCCCGTAGAGACAAACCACCTCCAAAATTAGACAAGGACTGGACGAGATTATTCGGTTTGAGAAGACGACAAAGAAAGACAGAGTATACACTTATGCCAAGGCACTCGACAGGTCATCACAAGGTTTTATGACCACCCTCACCTCATGCTGCTGTCACTTTAATTATACTTAGTTTGTACTTGTTTACAGTAGTCAATTATAAGACATTTTCTGAAGATTTTTCTAAAGCATGCCTTCTATCTATTCTTACTTTTATAACTTGTTTCTGTAACAAAGACTTTGTATTGTTCCTCCAAAACATTGTTGCAATCAAGTTTTATTGAAAGCAGATACTTGGTTTTGTTTTTTTATGTATTTTTTATTTTCATTATTATTAAGGCTGTTGGCTGCAAACCCGTTAACAAAACCATCGGCACAAACACTTCTAGAGCGAGGTCTAGTCTCCGTTGAAGGAGGTTTGTACCGTGATTTTGAAGTAACTTTGTTTTATAAGACGTTTCTGAATATTTGAAAAAAAACGTATTGCTTTGCAGGATTTGCGTTTTCTAGAGATCTGCGAGTAAATTTTGTAAGTGAAACTATTTTCTTTTATCACAAGTGTTTTAATATATGATCAAATCATTCTGAAGATTCTTTAAAAAGCATTAGATTTTTGTTGTTAGGAAACGTAACTTTTTTTCACAAGCATGAAATCAGAAACCGATTCATTTGACCAAAAAGATGAGGATAAAGTGAATGAATTGGAGATATGCTCAAATTCTATTGCAGTGATATAATTGTGTTTTCAGAAAGACGTTGTTCGCATGAGTTTGGAGCAGAGCTTGGAAATGCATTCAAACACAAAAGCCAGGGTCCTTGTTATTCTGTAAGTCATTTTATGTTCTTACATTGAACATTAAAATCTCTAAATTGAATGTGTTGTATCTTCAGAGCAGAGCAAGGATATTTTAAGGACACACTTTCCTCAAAAATAAAGCATTTCCAGGAACGAAATGTAGGTCAATTTAAAGTTCTAATATATTGGTATATACATACAAAGTATTCATACCGCATGAATTCATACCACAAACATAATGTGTCTTTTACACCTTTATGTGGAAATGATACATGATATTTCTTACAAATAAAGAACTGGAAAGCGTGGCTTCTCAGATGGGGCCGTTTTCTCCACCTGAATGGGCTAAACATTTCATGTGCAAAGCCCCAAAGGGACATGAAAAATGCTCGATGCTGCAACATAGAAAAAGGTGGTTCCACAGCGTTATAACCTATGTGGGCTGAATAATTGCATTTTTCAGAACAGATTTATTTTTTTATTGTTTTGCTTTCACTTTAATATTGTCCACCACTTTGTGTTGTTTTTGATAATGGATCATGGGGTATGAATTCTTTTTCAAGGCACTTCAGACATACAGATGTATACTGTACATACCTCTATAAATATATATTAATGCTGTCAAACGACAAAATTATGAAATTGAGATTGAGTTGCCTTTATTAAACAGTCACTTTCTTATTGGAGGGGTTTGTATTATAATAAGCTTTTTGCTTTTGCCAAATTAAGGGACATTTAAAAAAAGAAAAATATGTGAATAATTATTAATCGTGAGTCCAATGACAATAATGTGAATTATTCACAATTATATATTTGAATCGTTTGACAGTGTGTGTGTATATACTGTATATTACTATAATGTTCTCTTTATGTTTTTTTATGTTTCAGCATATATGTGTGACGGTGCAAGGCGATCATCATGTCCATTTGAATAACCCACAACTTATTGTGTCATTTATCTCCAAGTTTCTACAGACAAACATCACATCTCTTTCAGCCAAATTGTAGCCAGATGAAGGATGGGCTATTTTACACATTATTTAAAGTTTATTAGAAAAGTTTTTAAGCGCACATAAATGCAGTCAACAATGTTCATTTGTCAATTGCTTTCTTTTTCTTATGATTATTGTTCATGTAAATTATACATTATCATTAAGTTACAAAGATAACATATCTGCCAAGTAATACTGTAGTAATGAAGAAGCAGAAAGCTGGCTCAGATCTACTATAATGGCAGTTCATTCATTTAATCATTTGAATAGAATCAATGAACGAATGAATAAAGGTTTTTCATCTTATCCACCATTTGACTTGTGTTCTTCTGCCTCACGTGTGGGTCATAAAAGAGTAAATGTGCCAACATATTCATTACTAAAATTTGAATCGTATATATGTTTATTTGACCAGGACAAAACAAGTCTAGTTTTTATTTTATTTTACCTGAATTTAGTTGAAACGCACTAAGATGTTTACTCTAAGAGTGACCTGGCCAAGTGGCAGCAGAAAGTTGAATTGCCCCATAGCCTACGAGGCCAGAGAATGGCTGTGATCTTGCCTTGGGGCTCAAAAATCACACAATACTCTTAACCTTATCCAATAATGCTTTCCCTGATTCACTATTAGATGCCTTTTGATGAATTTGATGCAGGTGCTGCGTGTGCTAAAATGCCATTGGTCGTTAGAGATTGACAACTTTACCTTATGTAGGCCAAGCATCTTATTACCTGAACAGTCAAACACCATTTGACTCCTTGGTGAGGGCTGAGTGTGTAAAACGCTGCAGTTGTGATCCACTAGGGTTCCTACTCTGACCAAAAATCCTCTTCCTGCCCCCTCTCAATGTCACATAAACTATGATGGCCTTGGTGTTAAATGGGGTGGAATTGATTTTACGCAGCAGACTTGCAGCATCCTGAGACATCTTAGCCACCCCTCCTTCTCCATACTCTCCCAACACTCATCCAAAAAAATGATTAGACTTATATAATTTTCCCTCCCACACCCTCCATCCTTTCTGCCATTGGTGAGGTGGTTGTCATAGCAACCCCCACCCCTTCTTTGAACGTCAGAGCACGAGCTGGAGGATGAAGGAGCCGCATGCAGCCCTACTGTCCTGTGCTTCTCAGAGAGCACCTGTGATCCCTTTGTGGAATCTTCAGCGAGAGTAGAAGCACCCGTGTGGTGTATCTGTATCTGCAGATAATTGGATGACTGCTTTGGCCAACAGCTCCAGACTGCATACAACTGATCTAGCGGCACAGACAGGTATGCAACACCCCGCTCTTTACTGTTAGCAACACTATTTTTTAAGAGACGTAGGCAACACCTGTTTGTTCTCAGATAAAATTATTGTCAAATTGCTTTATGCTCTGTTTTCTTGTCATTTCTCTTCTGCACATGTCCTCCCTGGTCCTTGTGGGTGTGTGGTGGCAACAGTATGTCGTGGCTGTTTCTGGACTGGTTCGTACCTCTCTACCTGCTGGTATCGGTCTTGGTTCTTGCAGGATTCGGAGCATGCCTGTACTTCCTTGAACCAGGCCTGCAAGACGCCCATAAGTGGAACAACAAAACGATTCGCCATCACCCGCTAGTGGCCAGCGTGAACTGCAGAGAAGATACTAATGCACTGATATGATTAGCAAGAAGGGGATGAATGGAGTGGGCAATGGGTTGTCTGGTCAAAAGGTTGTAGCAGGACAAAGAGTTTACAATGGAGGAAGATCACAGAGGAAAAAATAAATCATTCCAACGCATCTCTTCTTTAAAGCCGTTTATTTCTGCTTTAAAAACGAATGCACAAGTTAGTGTGGACAGTGAAACCATTCACTTAACAAAGGCAACTAGAAGATTATTCATGTTGAATTGATGTCCTCCAGAAACATGTAACCTTGTGTACATCTCATCTTTTACTTGTGCCAATTTTTTACATAACATTTGTAATTTGCACTATATCCACTTTAAATGTACTGTTTGTCTTTGGTTATCATAGAGTGGTTTGTTAATGGAAAGGGCTTGTATGGGTTAAGAAGCTGCTGTGAAAGCGCACGCGGGTTGTTCATGTCAGTGGGCAAAAAACAATGTAAATAATGACTTTATTGTGCCAATGATGCAAATTACTAAAAATACAAAAATGGAATCTAAAAAGGATCCAGATCAGATTTAGTAATTTGCCAAATATTGATGTTTTCACTTTAATAATACTTTGTGAGGAAATGTGTAACATGCAACAATATGCTTCCTTTCTTAATATCAAATAAATGAGTACAATCCTGACTATTAAGACTGTTCTATTTGATATGATACATTTTGGTATGATCACTGTTTTCCCATGGGCTAAGTGAGAAATGCCCAAACAGAGTAGGAGTGCAACAATTGTGCCTCAGTGGTCAGTGGAATTGAGAGAATGCATGGTCTGCCCACAACTTCCTACTGCTCCGTTCAAGTCGTGTGCTCCTATTATTTACATTTTAATATGACTTCTACCAGACAACAAAGAAGGTCAGTCACAATGGGGTTTTACTATTAAAAACATGTAATTAACTATCCACTAATTTGACCAAATCTTGTCTTTCTGTAGTGCCAGAATGAGTGACCCACTAACCTCTTTGATTCCAAAAGTGTCTGAACGCTCTCGACGACCAAAGACACTTCTGTTACCACCTGCCTTACCCTGTCCTCCTGTCATCAAAAAGACGCCAATTCAAATTTCGTCTTTTGATGAGAGGGGGCTTGTCTGTGCCATTGGGCCAAACTCTGAGAGGTACACTTTGGCTAGAGATAGTTTATAAATATTTGCTAAATGTCCATCTTTGTTATACAATTGTATTTCTTGTTTTGCTGCAGATCTTTTGTACCAATTCTAGAAAAGAAATGCGGTCAAGAGGCAAGCAGACAAAAAAGCCATGAAGAAAAGGCATCAACAATGAAGCGAATGATGTCAAAAATGCATTACCCCGCTAAGCTCAAGAGCTCTACTTCGCCCACTTCCGAGGTGAACCACTCTGCTGCTGTGTGCTATTTGAAACCTCTGCTGGGATCTGGAACAGAGCGCCTGGGAAATACCCATACTGAAGATACCCCTCTACTCCAGCCGGTAGATCTTGACAGCCGAACCCAACCCAAACATCCACTCTATACCAGAGAAGAACAAGCAACTATTCCTCGCTCTAATGCGAAAAAGTTGCATTATGACACTCTTGATCAAGATACATTACTCGCTTTCACCCACAAAAATGTAAATATAAGAGAATGTCAGGAGGAGACATTGGAATCGGGTAATCCTCGTAACACATGTCAAAATTCCTTATTGATGCAAGGAAGACTGGGTTATGTCAAAACAGCAAATAGAGAAGAGATCACACATGATATTTCACCTGTGAGCCCAAACACAATCATCAATCCCCAGCAGCCTTATGTGCCCAGCGACAATAGTGTGTCTGAAGGGATTATGTCGTATTGTGCAGCTGGAAACGTGTCACAGCCTGTTTTTGAAGGACTGTCATCTCGTCTCAGTCCCAGCCTACACAGGAGGTGTATTCAGTATCTACAGAATGCTACTGTAACGAAGCCTAACACAAAGAAAGGTTATGCAGTTCAAACATCTCTCAGCATGTTGCAGCCCATGAATAAACCAAATCTATCACTGGAACACAAAAAGAACCAACAGAGGTGTTACAAAACAAGAACCCCTCTCCCAAGAGACCGCATGCAGTCTACTGGATATTTAACCACACAAAACTGCACCTTTTCACCGAGCTCTGGTCCATATCAGCATCAGAGGGGAGCTGCTCAGACGGATACAGAGCATGCACTTCATCAGTCAAACACTGTTTCAATGGATTACCGCTGTCAGTCAGGCAATACTGAGGGTCAAGCGGGAGAATCTGAGTGTGCAAAAACACTAAATCAATTGAAGACATGTTTGCCTCAAGCACAGAAATCCTGTACACCAGATTCAGATTTTGTCAATCTGAAAAAACATAGAGCTGAACGTTTTTCAAGTAACAAAGATTGCATTGAAGTCAGAAAGCAAAGCCACTTTTATTATTCATCAGAAATGCCTTCAAGAAACGCAGCTTCTCAAGATGCAAAAGAATCACAGAAGAAAACATCCGTTTGTGTGACAGAAGAGGACCCCTATGTAACAATGTACTGCCTTGGTTCAGTGTATGAGGGTGAGTAGCCAATTGTCTTCTATTAACCATTGGAAGTGTTCATAGAAGTAGTGATTGGGAAGGTCATACAACATAACGCTTCACAACAACAAAACAACCTGCATGTGACCTCTGAAACAAAAAAGGGCAGGTTCTGATTATTACTGTAATGGTAGACCTCCGAGTACACCAGGTTCCACAGTGGGGCGGCTGTAAAGTGCCCATAGGAAAGACACTTTACCCACATTGCCTAGAATGAGTCTGCTGTGTGTATGTGTGTGCGTGTGTGTGTGTGTGTGTGTGTGTGTGTGAACAATTAGTGGAGGCCGTAGGGCCCGATGGCACATACTGGTTGCCTGACTTCTGTGAGTGTGCTCCAGGGCAGCTGCAACCAGTAGCTTATCACGCCAGTGTATGGAGTGAATAGATATGTGAGTGTCAAAAAAAAAAAAAACACTATATAAAACAAATGCATTATTATCATTATATATACAGTGAAAACACTACAAATTATAACTGTAATATTTGTACATATATAATTGATATGTACACATTTTCAGAAACTGTTCCATACTTTTATGCACATATTCACTATCCAAACCAGCCTCATTTATTCATATTCATTTTGTGAAACTAAAAGCTCAATCAATGTTCAAACCAAAGTGAGTTTTTTTCATCTAAAAATAGCTCAAGAAGTAATAGAAAGATGTCCCTTTGATGTATACCCATTGCGCATGCCCACTGCATCTTTCCACTCCCTCTCCTCATGTCGCCTTGGTAACAAAAAGGGGGGCTCGTGGCCAGAGGGAAGGAGAGAAGAGGTATCCAGACACATCACATGACCGAGCTTTTCACTATTGCCTTTATGTTGCATATGATGATAGTAGCTCCACGAGATACGTACTGAGTGAACTGCAGCCATTCTTCATCTCGTCTATCGACTGGAAAGCCATTGGTAAGTGTGCGCATTAGCGGGAAATAGCAAGAAGCCACCGCTTAACCATATTGGTGAGCATGGGTGGAGTAGGACAATGGGGTAGGCGGGCTGCAAAAAGGCTAACAATTTATCAAAGCAATTGAACGCGACAGTCTTTACACCTAATTTGCCCTGTTAGCATGGGATGAATATGTCGCTAGCAATTTCGCATTTTGCACAGGTGCGTCAGCCTCAAAATCATCGGATTAATTGTGGTATGAGTGAAGGCTTGCACATTATGCAAAAGCATTGAGAGTGGGAGGCAGAGACGAAGAGCCAGCTGAGCGGTGACCACGGGCTGTTGTAAACGAATGTGACAGCCTCTGCTTCGCTGACCTGTATGATGCTTCATGTTCAGACTGGACAGTGCAGAGAGGGCTAAGCATCCGCTCCGCCCCAGGCTCCCTGTCCTTCTGTCTGTTGCTCTTTCCTGCATATAAGTTTCGGAAATGATACGCAATTGCATTCCCGATTCTAACCGAGCGGGCCTCCTGACATCCATTAGCTATTTTCAGCACACATTGCTCTATTTTTTCATAATCTGACCTTATTAGAGGAGCCCCTGAGACAGATCAGAACAGTAGCCTGTAGTGTACATGTTCAGTGATGTTTGATTTGTTTATTGCATGTTATTTTCTTCAGACATGTCCGACATTGTTCCACCAGAAGTGAAACCCAAACCTGCCATTCCAGCCAAGCCCCCAAATGTGGGAGCAGCATCCCCATCCAGTCCCTTCTCACCCCCTATGCCACCAAGTGCTCCGAGCACAGGGGCTTCACTTCCTCCTCCAAGTGCTATCCCAGTGCTCATTGGAAGCCATGGACCCAGCCACAGTAGCAGCCACAGCGTGACCCACAGTGGGCACAGTGCAGGCCATGGGGTGACCCACCCTCCAGCTCCCAGCGGAGGGCACACCACCCACAGCTCATCTGGGGGATCCACTCTGCTGGGCTACATTGGCATCGACACAATCATCGAGCAAATGAGACGGAAGACCATGAAGACTGGCTTTGACTTTAATATCATGGTTGTGGGTAAGAAGTTTGTGAATTAGGACAAGGCGTTCAAACTCTGGTTTGTTAGTGACATGCTTTCTGCTTGAATACAAAAGGTAACAGTGGCCTTGGAAAATCCACACTGTTAAACACACTGTTCAAGTCACAAGTGAGTAGGAAGAGTGCAGGATGGTCTCGAGATGAAAAAATCCCCAAAACTGTTGAAATGAAATCAGTGTCACATGGTAAGTGGAATTAACAACTCATCCAGGAGTGTTAACAAATATTGCAGCCAATACATGTTTTTTTTTTTAAAATGTTGTTTACATCTGATTGAGCACATATATTGCATTTTGTCAAATTGTATATTGTATATAGATATAAATAATGAGTCTCCTATTCCAGTTATTGAAGAGGGTGGTGTTAAGATGAAACTGACTGTTGTCGATACACCAGGCTTTGGAGACCAAATTAACAATGATAACTGGTATGAGTGTCGACAATTTCAACTTCACTTAAACATGAAAAAAAAATGGTGTTCATAACGAGTAATTATTCATCTTTTTTCTCAGCTGGGATCCAATCTCAAAATATATCAATGAGCAATTTGAGAAGTTTTTGAAGGAAGAAGTGAACATCACAAGAAAGAAACGTATTCCTGACACAAGGGTCCATTGTTGCATCTATTTTATCTCCCCAACTGGGCATTCGTAAGCGATCATAAACATTCATACTTATTATTCTCAAATAGTTGTTGCACAGGGAACGATTGTGACAATGTACTTGTTTGTATCTTTTATTCTCAGTCTCAGGCAGCTTGATTTAGAGTTCATGAAGCGCTTAAGTCACTCTGTCAACATTATTCCAGTAATTGCAAAGGCTGACACGATGACCATTGAGGAGAGACAGGAATTTAAACAGAGGGTAAGATTATACCGTATTTATATTATTTCATGTGAATATACATTTCATGATTACGTTTCAGAAAGCATGTGGAATAAATTGTCGTGGTTGTTGATGCAGGTGCGAAAAGAACTGGAAATGGGTGGCATTGAGTTTTACCCCCAGAAAGAATTTGATGATGACATGGAAGATAAAAGTGACAATGACAAAATCAGAGTAAGACTTTCTAGTTGTTTATATTTGTAACCACACAAACATCTTCTACTACAAAGTCTCTGGTTTATTTCTACAGGAGACTATGCCTTTTGCAGTGGTGGGCAGTGAAAAAGAGTATCAAGTCAATAGTAAGCGAGTGCTGGGTAGAAAGACAGCCTGGGGAATTGTAGAGGGTGAGTTACCTTTGTGCTATGACACTTAAATACCATCTGGGCGTAAATGTAATGACAAATCCTGAATGTTTTGCTACAGTTGAAAATCCCAATCACTGCGAGTTTGCTCAGCTGAGAGACTTTCTCATCAGGTGAGTATTCTCCATTAACTTGTTTTACTTGTTTGTTTGTTTGTATAATTTGTTCTGTTTCTTAGGTCACATCTTCAGGATTTAAAGGAGGTCACTCATAATATTCATTATGAAACATACCGAGCCAAAAGACTGAATGAAAACGGAGGCCTGCACCCCATATCTGACACTCAGGACAGCAACCTGTAGATCATCAGATGACAAACATTTCACTTGCCATAGTCATTGGCATTATAGTAATAATGCATGACAGTATCATAAGTAGTTTATACAAATAATTGTTTAAGTTAAGTATTATCTTCATGTGCAACTGCAACACACATATCTGGTATTTATATTTTCAAATCACAATGCTGTCCAGTGCCAAGATTCAATAAATGTATTTATAATTTCCAATCAGACTGGTATGAGAGCTGCAAAAGTGACTTATTGTATGCTTATTGTAAACTTTTATAATTATTTAATTTAATACAATTATAACATGAAATTGTGTTTTTCCATCGTGCAAGATAAGAAAGCCCAAAAAGTTTACTTTTTTATTGTATAAAACTGCCTAAAAACAAACAGATACAATAGCAATTGTGACTTTGTGTTTATTTGAGTTCAATGAAAGTTCAGTTCAGAATGCAAACTTAGGGCACATTCACACTTCATACTCGAGTTTTAAACTTGAGACTCACAACAGAGCTGAACTTAGTAAGTAATCTTTATTTATATTCCGCCTTTCACAGACCAGACTAAAGTAGACCAACTAAAATCGCGGAAGAAAGTATCACACCCCTAGTCAATACCCAGCTTACCTGTACCGATGTACAAAATGTATTCAAGTAAGTATGATTTTCCCCAGATATACCTTTTAACCCCATGCTGTCACATTTTTCTTTCATTAAAAGACATTTTAATGAAAAATGCATAAATTGTCAGCGCACTACCAGGACAGTTGAGAAGTTGAAAAAAATATTCATACAAGACAAAAATAATTAAAAATCACTTGCAAATTTGCCTTATCCAATATAGATGGGTCTCTTTCGTAACATTTTGTCATTCGCGGATGCAAACTTCAGATATCATGAGATAACCTGTTGTGTTCCCTTTTCGACCCAACATTGCTCTCCACCCCCCTCTGCTGGTGAAAGTGGACACTGCGCCCTCAGCCGGTTCACCTGAACCAGATCAGTGACGTCATTCTTCGGGCAAGAAATCCACTTGATCACACCCTTCGTGACTGCACTACATTATAACAGTCACATATTTTGACCAGACAGAACATTACACAATAAATACAAAAAATTACAAGGACACTTGGATTTGGTAAAATATTCGTTCTAATCTGAATTAGACATGTGTCAATCAAATATGTCATTGGCTAAAAACTGTTTATTATGGGAATCTAATGGAAATACACAAAACGCAAATATATAAATGTTGTTACTCCATTTGTGTATTTTTTAATGAACGACCATAGACTGTACGACGCACAATTCATTAGTGTTTCACCAAGTCACCACTTGATGGCAGCAGCAGATTAAAATAACAGGAAACGCCATCTCTAAACCTCGTCAGGTTTTCCCAGTAGCTCTCCAGGCCTTTACCGGTAGCTCCCCCAGAAACTGGTTTTGGAAAAAAAAAACCTTATTACCTTAATGTTTAAAAGGTAATGATGCCAACAACTTATTGTAGATGTACTTTGTCTGCTAATACATGGATAACAGAAATGGATCTGCATGTATGGCTTTCTGCGGGGCCTGGGTCCACGTTCGGTTGCTTAGGTCCCGGGTATATAGCCCGTCCGTCCAGAGCTGATCTCTCTCATTGTGGACCTCCCAGAAGTTTCTCAATTTTCTCCCACTGGGTTTTAGAGTTTTTCCTTGCCGATGCAGGAGGATCTGTTAGACTGTCCGTGGACTGTGGTAATGATTCAGGACATTCTAACATTCGACAACATGTATGGACATTTATCAACATTCATGGACATAGGCCTCTCCCTATGGACCAATACATATGTGTTCTAAATGTTTTGTGTTTGAACCGTTTGATTCTCTGTTGGCGATTTCAACGGTTTTGTTAAGTCCTCTGAGATAACTTCTGTTGTGATTTAGGGCTATACAAGAATAAATTGAACTGAATTTTAAGTTTTTTTTCCTTGAAAAGGAAAAAGAAGGAAATGCCTATCCCATGACGGATTCTTCAAACCACCAGACACGCCCACTTCCTGATGACTAATTATTAGAACGTTTTTTTTAAGATAGATAATAATGGGAAATTATCTTTTTTTATTATAAAAAATATTATTATTAATTATTCCTTTTTGTTTGAGACACTCGTAAGCAATGAAAGTTTTCTTGACAGATCCGGCTCACGCTTTTCTAATCTGCAATTGTTTTTCTTATAAATTACTCAAAACATCAAGTGTTTTTTTTCTTCATACTGATCAATGCTATGGAGCACCTCAAGGCTTTAACTTTGGGCCATTCTGATTCTTTGCCAAATCAGTAACATTTCCACAAGTGAATATATAACCAATACAGGTCATTCTACAATTATCTTTTTTTTTTCTATCTTCCTATCAACTTAAGCATCAGATTTGTTTTCTTATAGATACCACACGATATGATCTAGTAACGCAGCTGTTGACAGCTGCTGACACCATGTTTTTATCTTTGAGTATGATATATTCCAATGACTTGACAAAAGTGTTTATTGTCAATTAATCAAACAAACACTTCACATAGCCATCAGAGCACCGACCCCCCTCACAAATACATCATAAAACGATTTTGGAAAGTTATGCTCAACTCGCCGCCCCTCACTCCACACAGAACAGTCCCTTGAGTTCACAGCCCCCCCCCCCTTCCCCCCATAATAATGCTCTTTGCAAACTCCCCTCTAATACGAGCATGACAACAGTCACGTTTTGGTTTGATTCAATTGTCCCCATGGATAAACTTCATAAACCTAATCAGCATTTGATTAGAAAAAAGGCGAAAACAATGTAATGCGCCACCTAAAGGTAGCCTCTGGAATTACAACTTTAATGCAATTCCTAAAATGGCCGAACATATATTTAGAGCAACCATTGGCAACAGCCTGTGCAGAATGATCTTTTAGAACCTCAATTACCTTCAAGCAGCCTAATCATGTGTTGTGTGTGTTATCTCTATATACTAGAAGGCCTTGTGTGTCCTCCTAGCCTCTTTTCCCCAATCATAGAACATCTAATGAAGTCAGTACAACTAGGTCTCTTTAGTTGCCTCAAGCGAACCATGAAGCAAACACATCAGTGTGAACACGCTGTTTTTTGTAAGTATCCGTGTTATCTGGACGACAGAATATTGAAGGTTCTTGATGTTTTGGCTCCTCCTTCTGCACTAGGTCCCGCCCTCTGCTCTGGTTAGACAAACTCCACCCTCCTGTTCCCGCGGTACTGTTGAGAACCGTGTTGTATTTTCCCCAGCCGAGTGCTCTGCTCCTGGAGCCCGGTCTCTGCAGCTCTTTCCTGGGCTTGGTCGAACGGAGTGTACGGACTGCAGTGCCCCTGGGTGGACCGAGCCAAACTTACGTTCACCGCTGTGGCTGCAACATCACCAACAGGCGACATAACAAGTGAAGCAGTCGACGGTCCTTCAGCCTCCGACGGTCCAGCGCCCCGCAGTGTGGAGCGTGGCTTTCAAAGGAAAAGAGGAGGAGCCTGCACTCGGCGTTAGCAGCAACGGTCCGCTGAGCTCGCTAACAGCAGCGAAGCACTGCTCTGCTTTGGCAGAGTGATACACACGAGTGGACCCGCTTTTCCTGGCCCCACTGATCACAGCGATAGTACATGAAAGACGTTTATAAAGTAAAGTAAAAACCGGTGAACAGATCATCTGACGGAAGTGAGGCAGACATCGCGGGAAATCTTCGACTTGCTAACGGTGAGTGATGGTATTGCAGCTAGCATGCTAATGCAGTCTCAACTTCACTATCAACAACAAATTGTCTTGGTCAAAATTAACCTACATGTTGGTTATACAAGAAGATGACAATGGTGAATTAGTAGTTGATAATAAGTTTTATTGTGTGACCACTATGGTAAACTGATAAACACACACGGCGAATCTGTTGATAATATAACTGTTTTACCTTTCTAATTAAAAAAAACTTTAAAATATCCAGTTCTACATTCACATTGTTCTACAGTTTTTTTTATTTTTTATTTTTAGATAAGTTAGTCCAATATAATTCTGTACACGTGTATTCGGCTCAAATGTTGATACACTGATGTGAAAATTGTGTCCGATACAGATAACTGATGTTAATATTGCTGTTATAGCCACTACCTATATTTACCAATTTGTATATATTTGTATTTAGAACCATAAATGGTAAATATAAACGGATGTAGTCACGCCTATCTCCGTTGAAACTAATGTGCCAGTAGGAGCCCCATTTATTTAGCAAGTGCATTCTGAAGTCCACTGGGGCTAAACAAGAAAAAACGTAGAAAAAAAAACACTCCCAAGAGCCAACTTTTGGAGAGACGCCATACAAAAGCATTGGATAATTTTTATTACGGGTTCACCCTCACCGGCCCGGAGGTTGCAAGCATGTCAGCGCACATACTCATGGACATTTTGAATTAGTTCATTTTAAAATACAAAATAATATACAACATATTAACTGAAAATATATTGTGCATCACAACTTAAATTGTAGAAACGTCCAATAAGTTGATCTAAAAAAGTCTACAATTTTAATGTTATTAAATGTGCTATAAATTAATATGTACTTAATTTGACTTGTTTATTGATTAATTATTTATTTGGCTGTGACGGTGCATGTTAATGAACACGACACTCCTTATTGTAGCCATGGGCTAATTTGCATCCGTTGTCCCACAGTTGCACTCACACACACTATTCTACGGTACATGTTTTTAGTGGTAGGGGAAACCGGAGTACCCGTGGGAAACTCACACAGACACGGGAGAACATGCAATCGACTATGTCAACTATTAAAATTCATCAACAGCTCTCTTTTTTGGAGGAATTGAAGATACAAATGAATACAGTCAACACAACGCTCAATATAGACGTTTCAGGACTTTCTTTTCTGTGTTTGAGAAAAAGTCATCTTAATTTCCCCCATAGCTGCTTAGCAACAATCAGAACCCCACACACCCGCAGTCAATCCAGGAAAGATAGGTCCTAAGCATAGACTGTATATTAACGGACAAAGTCACGCCTATCTCTGCCGTTCTAATGGGCCAAAAAATTTGCTCTACTGGAGCTATCCAAAATGGCCGCGAGTGGTCCCGCCCACAAGAAAATTGTGACAAAAACGCATCTGCGCATGCGTCAGCTGGCGAGAGCTCCATTCATTTGAACGGGAGACTTCAACAATTCACAGCAAGTAAACTAGAGTGGTCCAAAAAAATTCACCCCCCTCAGCATTGACACACATGTGGAACGGAGCTTTGGGCCAAGAGCCAGCCTGTAAAGACGTTTTCGAGAGGTCTGCCAATGCTATATGTTAGCATTGGCTAATTCTATCTCTGGGTCCACCCCCATCGGCCCGGGGTGGTATTGCAAGCATGTCAGCGCACGTCATTTTGGCCACTTTTGAGCCGGGACCCGCCCACACTGGTCCTAAGTTTATATCAAAAATCTGGTCCAGACGAGTTAGTTGCAGCTCATTGTCCTGATGTCTGGGTTCTCTGTCCAGTTGTGAATTAGGAGGTGATGGCAGTTTTTTTTTTCTGTGTGGGAACCATAGACTTTAAATATGAACGAATGTTGTCATGCCTATCTCCATCGTTAAAACTTATGTGCCATAACTTTTGGCTTCTATGGGACTTTTTCAAAATGGCAGCGGGCAGCCCCTCTTGCAGGAAAATGTGAAAAACCGCATTTGTGCAAGCGTTAGCAGGCACCAACCCCATTCATTTAACGGGTGCTTTCTGAAGTCCACAACGGCAAAACTAGAGGGGTCCAAAAATATACTCCACTCAGCATTGACACACATCTGGGACGTTGCTTTGGGCCAAGAGCGGACTTTTGGATCCTTTTTGAATACGTTTTTGAGAGGAAAGAATACGCCATACAAAAGCATTGGATAGTTCTTTCTGGGTTTCTGCAAGTATGTCATCGCACATGCTCGTGGACGTTTATGAGCCGGGACCCGCCCCCACTGCTGGGAACTCGTATCAAGAACTAACAACAATTGTATTTCAATTTGATAACAGTCCTGTCCCTCCCCCCAAGTAAAACTACAGTGGGGAAAAAACGTATTTAGTCAGCCACTGATTGTGCAAGTTCTGAGGTCTGTAATTTTCATCATAGGTACACTTCAACTGTGAGAGACAGAATGTGAAAAAAGAAATTATTTGTAAATTGTGATGGAAAATAAGTATTTGGTCACTTCAAACAAGGAAGAACTCTGGCTTTAACAGACCTGTAACTTCTTCTTTAAGAAGCTCTTCTGTCCTCCACATGTTACCTGCATTAATGGCACCTGTTTGAACTCGTTGTCTGTATAAAAGACACCTGTCCACAGCCTCAAACAGTCAGACTCCAAACTCCACTTTGGCCAAGACCAAAGAGCTGTCGAAGGACACCAGAAAAGAATTGTAGACCTGCACCAGACTGGGAAGAATGAATCTACAATAGGCAAGCAGCTTGGTGTGAACAAAGCAACTGTGGGAGCAATTATCAGAAAATGGAAGACATACAAGACCACTGATAATCTCCCTCGATCAGGGGCTCCACGCAACATCTCATCCCTTGGGGTCAAAATGATCATGAGAACGGTGATCAAAAATCCCAGAACCACACGGGGGGACCTGGTGAATGACCTGCAGAGAGCTGGGACCAAAGTAACAAAGGTTACCATCAGAAACGTACTACGACGACAGGGAATCAAATCCTGCAGTGCCAGACGTGTCCCCCTGCTGAAGCCAGTGCATGTCCAGGCCCGTCTGAAGTTTGCCAGAGAGCACATGGATGATACAGCAGAGGATTGGGAGAATGTCATGTGGTCAGATGAAACCAAAGTAGAACTGCTTGGTATAAACTCAACTCGTCGTGTTTGGAGGAAGAATACTGAGTTGCATCCCATACCTACTGTGAAGCATGGGGGTGGAAACGTCATACTTTGGGGCTGTTTTTCTGCTGAGGGGACAGGACGACTGATCCGTGTTAAGGAAAGAATGAATGGGGCCATGTATTGTGAGATTTTGTGCCAAAACTTCCTTCCATCAGTGAGAGCTTTGAAGCCTGACAATGATCCCATTGTCAGGCTCCGTAAGAAGCCTTTGAAAGTCCTGGAGTGGCCTAGCCAGTCTCCAGACCTCAACCCCATTGAAAATCTGTGTTGCTCTGCGACAACCTCAAAACATCACTGCTCTCGAGAAGATCTGCATGGAGGAATGGGCCAAAATACCAGCTACTGTGTGTGCAAACCTGGTAAAGACCTATAGTAATCGTTTGACCTCTGTTATTGCCAACAAAGGTTATTTTACAAAGTATTGAGTTGAATTTTATTTTTTGACCAAATACTTATTTTCCACCATAATTTACAAATACATTCATTAGAAATCCTAAAATGTGAATTCCTGGATTTTTTCCCCACATTCTGTCTCTCACAGTTGAAGTGTACGTATGATTAAAAAATTACAGACCTCTGTCATTATTTTAAGTGGGAGAACTTTCACAATCGGTGGCTGACTAAATACTTTTTTACCCCACTGTATTTAATAAACTCCATGACTTCTCTTAGGGATCAACTGTGTGCCTCCAATGTCTTTATTTTTTTGAAAAAACGTGTACATTGAGGATAGTTACTATTTTTTGAACGCGTGCAAGAAATGCACTTGTAACTAACACATGGTAGCCATTGGCCCATAGCAAGAGGGATGACCAAAGTACATAAATGTCTGGAAATATCTTGGATCATCACCCTCCTACATCAGCAAGGAACAACTCAAAAGACCCACAGGCGACAAATTCACAGTTGCAGATAAGAGGTCAGATTCAAGGGTTCCATCATCACCCCATGAAACGGACAATAGAACAGTGGGTGAAATAGCAATGAACAGATTTTCAAGGCTGCAGAAAGATTCTAGTGAGAACAATGCACTTCATAATGTGCGGAGCCAAACCTATGCTTGCCTGTTTTATGATGTTTTATGGAGATCACACTCAGTTGCCACCTTGTCAGACTGAAGTTGTGGCTTGATCATAAGCCATGTTCCCACCAGACCAGCACGGCAGATGCAGCAACTCATTGCACCGGCAAAATGCAGGAGATTAACATTGCGCACTAGACAGTTGCACAGTGGTGCCGGGGACGACAATCAAACAGACAAAGCAAGATCAGGATTGTACCAGGACCCTGAGTTCACATTACCGTGACTGGATTAAATGAACATGCTGAGAAGAAAGTGCTGATACCTGGCGCAGGTGTAATCTGATGTCTCTGGAGGACCTTAGAGACATGAAAAGCTGCTAGCTCAAACTCGTCTGCAATCAAAGTCCTCTCAACACTTTTGATACAATTTAAAAAGGGCACAAAGGTCGGCGGTGCTGGGAACAGAGCTTTTTTTTTATACGTGCTTTGAATGTAATGTTCGACTCATAGTCAAAGTCTGCCCCCTTATCAGAGTTCATAGCGTTGACGTTTGCTTATATAAGTGTATCATGTCAAACAGCATTTGCAACTATAGGAGTCGTTTTGTTTAATTTAAAATGGGCAGTTTTGAACTGCTGCGGCAAAAAGGCAGTTGACTGAGGTAAAGAACTCCCAAAAGGAAAGAATCTATCTCCAACCTTCTATCAGTGTCTTTCGTGACACTACACTGTGTGTGGTGTGAAAACCCATTGCTACGTTTTTTTGTAGACCATGTCACCACAGTCATGGTTATTGTGAGCCAGGGGTT